TAGGAATTCCTTCCTATCTGTTATGTTCTGGTTAGTCTTTATATACGCAGGCAAATTATTATTTTCAGATATGATTTAGCCGTGTCTATCTCCTTTTATATAGATTTTTGTTAAATATACCAACAGATTGAACTGAATTTGACTTACCAGTAATTGGCATTCAAAACAATACCAATGTGGGAGAATTGGCACAGTGTTTAACAGGCTGATCCTCCACCTGTGACACAGAATCATATTGGTGTTGGTTCAAGTCCTGGCTGCTCCACTTCTGATCCAGCTCTCTGTTAATGGCCTGAGAGAGTACAAAAGGATGGCCCAAAGCCTTGGGTCCCTGCACCTATGTGAACCTGGAATAAGCTTCTGGCTCTCAGTTCTGACCACTGCAGGCATTGCAGGAGTAGACCAGCAGATGGAAGGTCTAACTTTCTCTCCTTTCTGTAATTCTGCATTTCAAGAAAGTAATTTAAAAAAAAAAAACTGTACTAGTAATAGTTCTGATACTGTTTTTGTTTCTTGGGTAAATCTTCAGGAAGGGGCCCAGCGCAGTAGCCTAGTGGCTAAAGTCCTCACCTTGCATGTGCTAGGATCCCATATGAGTGCCAGTTCCTGTCCCAGGTGCCCCATTTTCCATCTAGCTCCTTGCTTGTGGCCTGAGAAGGCAGTAGAAAATGGCCCAAGGTCTTAGGACCTTGATTCTGAAAGGGAGATCCAGAAAAGGCTTTTGGCTCCTGGCATAGAATCTGCTCAGCTCTGGCTATTGCAACCACTTGGGGCGTGGGCTAGCAGATGGAAGCTCTCTCTTTCTCTTTGTAGCTTTGACTTTCCAATAAAAATAAATAACTCTTTTTAAAAACAGAAAGCATTAGGAATACCCAAAAAAGGTGATAGATACAGTGACGCATGCCAGCTTGTTCTCCTGTCTTGTTCCTGAGTTGCAGCCAGCCTCTGAAGCATTTTTCAGGTGATCATTTTGCTTGCTTAGCCAGTGGTGGTGAACAACCAGAGAACACTATTCCTGGAAAAGCCATGCATCCAATTCTTATTTTCCATTCTCCTTTGTCCTCCCATCATTGCCCGCAACCACCAGAGTATTTAAATTAAATCTTTGCAATAGTATTTTAAACCAGTGTCTGTTGCAGTTTGTTCAAAACTGTGAGCTTTGCTTACAGGAATGGAATATACTACTCCCTGGAGTGATTAATGTAATGTAATTTTGTTTGTCCTCTGCCTTGTTTTTTAGTATGTTAAATTGAAAATTCTCATAAAATAAATAGAATTACAAGTTAAATAGATTTTCTCAATTTAGAGTAATTTCAAAATTGGTAGCAAAAGTAAACTTTCCTTGGCTTTCAGGAAATACTTCATCCTGTTTCCTAGAAGTGTAACCCAGAGAAAGTAGAGTAAATTTTAAAAGTACAAAGCTTTGAACAGCCAATAATTTGCATTGTGAATGTTCTTAAGAGAAATCTCGAGACAGTTAGTGCTTTGGCCAAATAGGCTTCAGCTATTCTGGTTGAGTGATGTGCTGTGTGTACCTGCTTTTCAGAAATTCATTCTAAAAACTTAACCATATTGATTTTTTTAAGATTGATTGATTGATTGATTTTTATTATAAAGTCAGATATATGGAGAGGAGGAGAGACAGAGAGGATGATCTTCCGTCCAATGATTCACTCCCCGAGTGACCACAACGGCGGGTGCTGGGCTGATAAAAGAAAGAAGCCAGGAAATTCCTCCAGGTCTCTCATAGGTGCAGGGTCCCAAAGCTTTGGGCCATCCTCAACTGCTTTCCCAGGCCACAAGCAGGGTAGCTATAATGGGTAAGTTGTGGTCTCTGCCAAATTTATCATCAACTGGCCCCCTACTAGGGACTGGAAATCAACTGCGATGACCTAAAAAAGACCCCCCCCACTAGGGCCATTGCTGCCCCAGGGCCCCTACACACTTTACAGATTTTCACCATAATCAAATCCCTGGGAATAGAAAAACACAATCTGTGGCCGTCATTCCTTCCCCCAACAATATCAAGATTGAATTATGGCAAAAAGTTTTAAAATTTTGAAGAAACACAGCAAAGGTCTCAGAAATATTTGTTTTATTTTTCTTTTAAAATTTTAATACAGAAAGTTATTTTGGCATATTTAAAAATGTAAACAACCACCCCAACCTTTGTAACAATCCCAATCATTGGCTCATAACATTATATTACCTTATACAACCCTCCCATTTGGCTTTATTTGAATAACAAGGTTTAAAACCTACCACCTTACCTGAATTGTGACAAACCCTCATACAACCCTACCCAAACGGTTACGTATTAATCACATCATCTTGAACTTCAATTTGGGGGGCACCTAAAATTTATCCAACAATTGGGGCAACTTGAATCCACAGCTTCCTGGTTCACATGTCCAATTCTAACCAACTGTAATAAGCGGAACTCTATTCCCACAAGGTCTGGATTTGTCAACATTAATAAAGAAATGGTACCTCCCCCCCCTATAACACAGTGGGGGCAACCCTCAATAAACCTATAATCAAAGGGGACCCCATTCGTGATCTTAATAATACCCACCCTGTATTCAATAACCCCCAACTCTATTTATACCCCCCCCAATCCCTGTAAACAGATCCCATCCACAATTATATTAGGTACAATCCAATACTCACACAATCAACAAGTTTTTTACCCATAATTCCCTACTCTTCCATATTATAATAAATACGACCCACCCCCACCCATAATCGAACAGGTCAGCACACAAACCGTAAAAACACGTTCCCTTCCTCCCTAGCCTCCCCAGCTCAACAACTGCCTCATTCACCCACCCCCCTAGTGGGCGCCACCGTCCCTGCAGCTTACCGCCTCAACCCACGCCTGAACGCCTTCTTACCTATCTGGGTTCCTCCCCCCACACTGGTGTAGGGTCCAAAGACATTGGGCAATATTCTACTGCTTTCCCAGACCACAGGCAGGGATACTGACCAATGCCCACATGGAATTACAGTGGATACAAGGCTAGGATTTAGCCACTAGGCTACTGCACCTGGCCCACAGTCAGATTTTTAAATTGCCAATAATGTGCCACTGTATTTTACATGGATATGTGAAATTTAGCCGATAAGTATTTAGCTTTGGGTTGTTTGGGGCTAGTGTTATGGCGCAGCAGGTAAAAGCCACAGCCTACAGTGCTAGAATCCCATGAGGGTGCCAGTTTGTGTTGCAGTTGCTTCGTATCCATCTCCTTACTAATGGCCTAAGAAAAGAAGTAGACAATTGCCCAAGAACTTGGGCCGCTGCTACCCATATGGGAGACGTAGGTAAAGTTCTGGCTCTTTGTGGCCATCTGAAGATTCTCTCTCTCGCTCCCTCGCTCTCGCTCTCCCTCCCTCTGTAACTCTAATAGAAAAAGGAAGAGAGGAAGGGAGGGAGAAAAGAAAGGAGAAGATACTGAAAGGAGGGAAAGAAATGGCAAACAAAATATATTAAGCTTTGTTTTGGCTCTGAATTTAAGGAGTTGTAAATACAAATGATTTCTTTTAACCATGAAGATGTTTTTTTTTAACCTTAAACTTATTTTTGTTTCTTGTAAGTTTTCCTTCTTCACCTTGAATGATTTTCTGTTAGTCTTTTTAAACAGCTGCTGATTTTAAACTTGAAGTTGTTTTTCAAAAGATCACTGAGAAATACTTTGTAATGATATTCTAATGAAGACACTATCATTTGTGTCTGTCTTGATTTCTAACCTTCAGCAGTCTTACTGCTGTATTGTGACAGGTGTGCTAAACACTCTGCACCCACTACCTCTCAGAGCATGCCCAGTTGAGGGAACTGCGTGAGCGGAAACAGGGAGTTTGAGATTCTGTTAGAAAAATAGCCATCAGTTTGGTATTGTTGAAGGATAATAATTAAGTAAAATGACTATAGATGCTACTTAATAAATGAAACTAGCGCAGAAGGGTTATCTGAAATCCAGTGGAGGCCACATTTGAAACAGGCATAGCTAATCCAGAACTCCATCTCTTACTTGCTTTTATATAGTGCACATGGAATCATTTTATCAGTTTATAACTTAACAAAGAAATTTGTGATAAATAAATTGGAAGATAAAGATTTTTTAAAAGGGTACAGTTACTTTTTGTTTTACCACTCAGGCATAATCATTGCATCTGTTTTGTTTGAAATGCGTGTACTTCATTTCTTCAGTACAACATCCATATTTGTTTCAATGCCCATGATAGATTTACAAAAACTAGCTATATATCAGGTAAATTGTTAATAAATCTCAATAGTGCATTTATAAATAGGATCATATTTTTTACAGTAAAATGGAAGTGGTAATTTTTATTTTAAAAACTAAATTTTAGGAAATTTTGGATTAACCTGTAATACCTGTCCATTTTTAGAATGTACAGTGCAATATTTCAAACTGTGCAGATGGTATAAACCAATCATACCAGGCATTTAACCTTGCCATTTCCATGTCTTGTCTTTGTACTTGGAGTCTACCTGCTCCCCCTCTCTTTATACAGAACATAACATGGTGTTGTGTACCAGTCATCTCGCTGTGCTGTGACCCATCACCTTCACCCAGCTGCATTTTGGCAGTCATTATGCAGCTTCTCCAGCAGCTTAAGTACTCAAACAACATATGAGATACCTCTCTCCACATAAATGTCATGAACATTTTTATATCGTTACAGTTTAAATGTTATCTATAACTCTGCCTTAATGTATTTAGTCCTTCATTCATTCATTATTGAACTATTTTGTAGCGAACCTGTATACCAGATATCCTTAAACAAAAGTTTAATGTGACAATGAGTTACAAGATTTTGTACATTTTTAAGATAAAATCTATTAATATATATTTCCATTAAATGTATTAAGAATGTCTGGTTCCTCACTTCTATCTAATATTCACTGTAAAGTTTTTCTTGCTTGTTCCAATATATAGAGACTTTGTATAATGTAGTCACCAAATGATTTTGTTTTTCAGGAGATGATTTTTCTTTGATTCAACAAGAAATATTTATGGTTAAAGAATGTAAACATTGCAACATCGTTGCCTACTTTGGGAGCTATCTCAGGTAAAAATTAAAAGCATCTGTTGTTTGTATTTTTTGTTCTGTATACAGCCATTCCTGTCTCATTTTCATATACACACAGTTAGACAATGTATGTATTTTTTTAAAGATTTATTTTTTTACTTTTTATTGCAAAGTCAGATATACAGAGAGGAAGATTTTCCATCTGATGATTCACTCCCCAAGTGACCACAATGGCTGGTGCTGCACTGATCTGAAGCCAGGAGGCAGGAACTTCCTCCAGGTCTCCCACGCAGGTGCAGGATTCCAAGGCTTTGGGCCATCCTCGACTGCTCTCCCAGGCTACAAGCAGGGAGCTGGATGAGAATTAGAACTAGCACCCATATGGAATTCTGGCATGTTCAAGGCAAGAACTTTAGCCACTAGGCCACGGCCCTGGGCCACAATGTATGTATTATTTAAAATTACATTTCCATGGGCTGGCTATTTGGCATAGTAGGTTAAGCTTGTCTGTACCTGCAATGTTGGTATCCCACATAGGCACTTGTTCCAGTCCTGGCTGCCCCACTTCTGATCCAGCTCCCTGCTACTGCACTTGTGAAAGCAGCAAAAGATGAGCCAAGTCCTGTGGCCCCTGCACCCACAGGCTTCTGTCTTAGAACTGGCCCAGTCACAGGTTTTGCGGTCATTTGCAGAGTGAACCATTGAATGGAAGATCTCTGTGTAAATCTGCCTTTCAAATAAAAAGAAATAAACCTTATAAAATATATCATGTATTCTTAGGCATTTGCATTTAAAAAACTTTATTGTCCAAAGTTCTGAAATGTCTGGTTTTCTTATCTTCTTCCACCTTATGTTGATATAGCCATTCAGAGGTATCTTTATTTTCTCTAGGAACCTTAATGAAACACCGATGACTACAATTTAAAATTTTAGCTTATAAAATTCATCATATTCCAAACCATTTTAGCTGGAAACAAAACTGAAGCTTTTCTGTATGCTGAGGAAAAATTGCCGTAGCTGTCTGTCGTTTCACTCTGTGTCTGTCCTAAACCTTGTCAAAGAGTATTGATTTCAGTGACTGAAAATGACTAGTTAATATAACTATTTTTCTCTTTCAAATTAGTCGTGAAAAACTGTGGATCTGCATGGAGTACTGTGGAGGCGGATCACTTCAAGATATTTATCATGGTACTGTTAATTTGATGTTTTATTTTAAACCCGACTTTGCCTTTCATGATTGTTGTTTAACACAGAAGTTCACTGCTCTGCCGTCTTCTGTTCCAGAGTCCTGCCTAAAAAGAATTCCAGTGGCTTTTGTTTTTGGTTACTGATTTAAATTTGAACCTAAAATGAAAAATTCCAAAAGTATTTGTATAGTTCAAATGTGGGGATTTTTATGTAGTTTCTAAGAAAGTCTTTTATTTATACTTGAAACTGCCTTAGCTTCCTTGTAATATGCATGGAAGTGCAAGGAATGCCTCACAAATGTGTCTGTCTGGATAACCAAAAAGCAAGTATAGCTTTAAAGTGTTGTTTTAAAAATATTTTGGGAGTATTTCATTTAGCATTCACTTATTTCTGGCAGTTTTTCAAGTTGAATCTAACTTGTGTTTCACAATGGTGTTTAGAAATACTTTTTATGCTGCTATACAGTTGAAGGTTTTTTTTTTTTTTGACATGTTTCAATCAAAGCATGGATGCTTGTGAAGTAATTTGTCTTTTACTTGTTTAGCATGGATCTCAGTGAAGGTCCTATTGCAAATATGCATTTTATAATTTATTAAAATTGAGTGAAATGTTGTTATTATTTTCTATATTGAAACTTTTCATTGGAAGCTTTGTCAAATTTGGTCACAGAATTTGCAATGCAAGCATAGTAGATAGAACTATGGGAATGCTGTTTCAGGGGTAGGCATTTGGTGTGGCGGTGAAGGTGCTACTGTGATCCCTGTGTCCCTCCCTGTTGGAGTGCCTGGCTCAAGCCCTACCTCCTCCACTCAGAATCTTTTCTAATAAAATGCACACTAGTAAGCAGCAGGTAATGGTTAAAGTGCTTAGGTCACTGCCACCAATGTAGGAAACTTGAATTAACCCTAAAGCTCTTGACTTGGGCCTGACCTAGTCCAGGCTGTTGACATTTAGGGAGTGAACCAGTGGATGGATTCTTTCTCTTTCTTCCCCTCTCTCCTGCCTTTCTCTCCCTTACTCTCCACTATCTCTCTCTCTGCCTTCACTGTTGCAGTTTAAATGATATTTCCTAACTTGTGGTCAGCATTGTAACACCAAGAGTTAGGACCACTGAAAGACCTCTGTAATCTCTGCCTTTCAAATACTGAATTTATTTTTCTTAAAAAGAATATATGTTTAAATTAAATGCTGTTGCTATGAAGGCCTCACATTTTTCTTACTATCACAACAAGTTGCTAAGAATCAAAATTTGGGGGCCTGGCTTGGTAGCCTAGCAGCTAAAACTCCTCGCTTTGCACTAGTTGGGATCCCAAATGGGCACAGGTTCTAATCCTGGCAGTCCTGCTTCCCATCCAGCTCCCTTCTGTGGCCTGGGAAAGCAGTCAAGGATGGCCCAAAGCCTTGGGACCCTGAGCTTGTGTGGGAGACCTGGAAGAAGTTCCTGGCTTCAGATAGGATCAGTGCAGCACTGGCCATTGCGACCACTTGGGGAGTGAATCAGCAGATGAAAAATCTTCCTCTCTGTCTCTCCTATTGATTTTTCAATAAAAATAAACAAATATTTAAAAAAGAATCAAAATTTGGGGGCCAGTGTTATGGCATAGTGGGTAAAGCCACTGCCTGTGATGTTGGAGTCCCATACAGACACCAGTTTGTGTCCCAGTCACTCCACCTCCAATCCAACTCCCTGTTAATGGCCTTGAAAAAGCCATGGAAGATGGATAAAATATTTTGGCCTCTGCCAATCATGTGGGAGATGTAGATGAAGCTCCTGGTTCTTCATTTTCCTTGACCCAGCGCTGGCCATTAAGACTACTTGGGGAATTAATCAGAGGATGAAAACTGTCTTTCTTGGTATCTGTCTTGCCACTTCTTGCTTTCCCTCTCTGTAACTTTTTAAAAATAAGTAAATCTTTTTTTTTTTTAAAAAAAAAAGGAATAGAAGTTTTTTTGTTCTTGTATTAAAATACACAGTAAAATATTTTCCTGCTAAAGATCACATAGGAGTCTCTGATTGGATTTCAGTGTTTGCTCATACCATCTCAGATTTTCTCTTGTTACTGAGATTGTAGTTTCAAGTCTCTGGTTGTATACTCATATAAGATCTTATATTTCATATTAAGGAGAGACTTATTTGTAAGAAATAATGTTGTTACTGTTTAAATTGGTGAAGTGTTTCATCAGATTTCCTTAGTTTGATAGGGTGTTAAATAAAATCCTGACCTGTATAAAAGTGTGTAATGTCAATATATTTCAGCAACCAATGTTTTTATGATTCTCAGCATTTCTGTATAACTGAAGTTAGCTGTATATGTCTATACAAATTTTTTTGGCGGGGAGGCTTTATTTTAAAAATGTTGAGCTCGAGATCATATTCATTGCTTTCTATAGAAGTTCTTGTGATGCTTAATACTATGCTTTGGGTGCAGTGGTTGCTTAATGTTTTGTTGTCCAAAGTTGTTACAGAGTAAATCTTTACTTTTAAAAGTACATTTTAAAATTCTCAGTGTTACCCTTTTTTGTCTATGTCTTGATTATCAAGATAAAATGTTCTCGGGCCTGGCTCGGTGGCGCAGTGTTTAAGGTCCTCGCCTTGCACACCCCAGGATCCCATATGAGCGCTGGTTCTATCCCGGCAGCCCCGCTTCCCTTCCAGCTCCCTGCCTGTGGCCCGGGAAAGCAGTGGAGGACCGCCCAAAGCTTTGGGACCCTGCACCCGCTTCGGAGGCCCAGAAGAGGCTCCTGGCTTCGGACCGGCATAGTATCGGCCGTTGCGCTCACTTGGGGAGTGAATCATCGGACGGAAGATCTTCCTCTCTGTCTCTCCTCTCTGTATATCTGCCTTTCCAATAAATAAATAATAAAAATAAATCTTTTTTTAAAAAAAGATAAAATGTTCTCATGGCCAATGAAAATATGTAAGTCTGATATACTGTATCATAATTGTTGTTTTTAAGTAGGCCATTTTTAATCCATCACATTCAAATGTATAACCATGTGTTCTGTTTTTTCTTCCTAGTTACTGGGCCATTGTCAGAATTGCAAATAGCGTATGTATGCCGAGAAACCTTACAGGTATTACATTCGCTTATGAAAATAGAAATACAATTCTAGTTTCACAGTTGTAATCGAGATGATTGTCCACCCAAAAGAGAAGAGACAAATAAAAATAATCTTTATGTTAATCTTTCATATTATAATTCTGTAAAACTAGTTATTTCTTTCATGACTAAGTCACAAAACTACATTGAAAATAATACTTAGACATTCTTTATTAATATGTGGTGCCCAACTTTGAGGTCAGTATGGTAGTCAAGTGTAATAGTCTTGACTCTCAGTTGCTACAAAGCTAAGGAAAACCATGGATGAAAATTGGTTTTCAAGAATGAATAGATGTAGAAAAAAACTTCAGTTTGGATCCCTTCTCACAGTATGACTGATAGAACAGATACACTCAAAATCAACAAGCCCATAGAAAACTTTCAGCACAATCAGCTAGCATGACCTGACATTTTAGAACATGGCAGGCAACAGGAGCCTAATACTTATACTTCAAATTAGACCAGATTCTGGGCCATTAAAATAAATCTCAAGAAACATAAAAAGTTAAATTATATAAACTATTCTTACACTACAGTTTAGTTAAAAGAACAAGGAGAGAGGGAGAGAAATCCTAGAGCCTATGGAACTGTATCAGAAAATAATGAAATAAATATCTAAAAAGATTTTAAAAAGAGAATGACTTCAGAAATTCTTCAAGTACTTGAAAATTAAAGCACTGCTAGGTAACATTATCAGTCAAGGAAAATGATAAAAAGAAACTTAACATATTTTGAACCTGGCCCACTCTTGGCTGTGGTGGCATTTGGAAATTGAGCCAACAGGAGAGAGTTCCTTAACTGTCACTGTCTTTTAAATAAACAAAATAGTTGTAGGTTACTTTAAGTAATTGGTTATTAATAAACTAAAAAAAAAAAAAAAACAGAGACTGAGAAAGAAACGAAAGACCACATGGTCATCTACGTTGACACAGTAATAACACTTAGCAAATTCTGGCATTGATCCCTGACGAAATTTCTGACAACATTAGAAATATAAAAGAACTTGGTCAACCCGTTGAACATCTAAGATAAACCAAGAGTTAATTGTGCTTGATGGTAAAAGACTGCATACTTTTACCCCAAGATCAAACAAGGTAAGGATGTTTGCCCTCACACTTTTCAACAGAATAGTAGAGGATCTAGCTGCTGCAAAATGAGAAAACATTAAAATGGAAAGCATCTAATTTGAAAATGTTAGTAAGTAGAACTGTTTCTGTTTGTAGGCATCTAATTATTTATATGAGAAATGGAATATAATTATAAAAGAGCTTCTGGAAATAATAATGAGGCTAGAAAGGTTGTGAGATTCAAGATCAGTGTACAAAAATCAGTTGGATTTCTATATACTGACAACAACTGGAATCCATAATTTAGAAGAGTGCTTACAGTAATGCGTACGTATGGCGTTTTGAGGATAAATAAGATAGAAGATGCGTAAACAGCCACACACTGAGAACTATGAAACTGAGAGAAATTAGAGGTGTAAACAAGTGGAGAGTAACCATATTCATGGACCACAACACTCAGTTCTGTTACGATATTAATTCTCCCAAAATATTTTACTGAATATACATTTAATGCAATTCCGAAATCTAAGCAGGCATTCTATATGTTTTTCAAGGAAATTGACAAGTTAATTCTACAGCTCCTATAGAAATATAGAGTGAATCCAGAATATCAAACAACTTTGAAAGCCCTGTGTATAGTGACAAAAGGCAGCTGAATGCCTGCTGGAGAGGGGGGAAATTACAAAGGGAGGACGCTGTTATGAGGAAGCTTTTGTGCATGGTATTTATTTTCATTATCTTGATTATGATCTTAATGTGTTAGTAAAATATTTCTTTTTACCGGGAGATGAATTAGAACCTTATCAAAAATCTTTTAAAAAAAGAAATGTTTGTTAAAACGTTCATCTACATTCCCTCACCCCCTACAGAGAAAAGCACTTGTTTCTTATTCGATAAGAATTTGAATAGAATAATATTTAGCAGTGAAGTTTGCAGTTTTGCTAATGCATGCTTTTTTTTTTATATACTTCAGGGTCTTGCCTATTTGCACACAAAAGGAAAGATGCATAGAGATATCAAAGTAAGTTTAGTTGGTATGTTTAAGTTATTAAGCCTGTGATGCCAATTTTATGATGCTAATTTGTTACATGTATTTTTGTTTTAGGGTGCAAATATTCTACTGACAGACCATGGTGATGTAAAATTAGGTATGTTACTTCAGTTTCTGTAAGATTTTTCACAGAAGAATTTTGAATGAGGATTTACATAAGTAAAATCAAACCAGTAGTCACAGTTAAGAATACCCTTTGACCCAGTATTTTACCCCTGGGCTTCAGTTTTAGGAAATTAGCCCTAACGATAGAAAATATGTATTCACAGAAGTTGTAACCATAATATTATAACAGAGAAAAATGCAAGCATTAAGACTAGAAATAGAAAAACTATTAAGCTATGATTATTCTACTTATGGAATACTTAATCACTAGTATTTATGAAGAATATGTGAGAGTAAAATTCCCTCTGTGTTAAATGATAAAAGTAAACTATATTTTGGTAAACATGTTTAATGATATAAAAGTTAAAGAGAGGAAAAAGCACGTTTTAGAAATAGTTCCATTGTATTCATGTATGAGGATAAAAGGCCTACACGTGTGTGCTCATCCCCTGATTGCATTTTTTAGTTACTAATTTAATATGCTTATAAAATTTTATTAACTTCATTCAATATATTTTTTAGTTAATATGTTATGAACCAAACAAAAAGATATTTTAATTATCTGATTTATATATTTCCCTAACATTAATGTCTGCATTATTATAATACTATGCTAAGGATGAAACTTAAAATACTTGTCATTAAATTAAGGAGAACTAAAGTTTTCTATGGTTTCCTCCTCAGCTGATTTTGGTGTGGCTGCAAAAATAACAGCTACCATTGCGAAGAGAAAATCTTTTATTGGTACCCCTTATTGGTAAGAAATCACTCTAAATTTAGTACATTTTTGTTTCATTTCATAGTTAGTGATCAAAGTGATAACTTTCAAAAAATAGTTAATTTCATTATTTGAAAGGCTGTATTACAGAGAAAGAGGGAAATGCAGAGAGAGAAGTATCTCTCAACTGCTGGTTCTCGTCTCTAGTGGCTGCCAACAGCTGAAGCTGGGCTGGGTTGAAACCAGGAGACTGGAATTCCAGCTGGGTCTTCCACGTTGGTGGCATAGATGCAAGTACTGGGACCATCTTTATGCTCCTAGGTACATTAGGAGACAAGGATGAAACTCCGAGATGTTCTCTCTCCTTTTCTTCCTTCATCCCTTCCTCTTTTCCTCCCTCCCACTCCACTCCCTTTCTGTAACTCTGCTTATCAAAGCTTTTTTTTTTTTAAGAAGTTACAATGAAAATAAATATAAAAATGAAGGCCAAATGAACATTTCTTACAGAATGTCTTCATGGCAGTGCTTGTTCCCCTCCTCAGTTTTTTTCCTGACTGTCCTCCCTTCTGAACACACTGTTGGTTTTGGGGCCAGCGTCATGGCCTGATGCATTCAGGTACAACTTGGAACACCTGCATCCTGGATGTGAGTACTGAACTGAGTCTCAGAGCAGCCTTCAGTCCAGCTCCCTGTTAGGGAAAGAAGTGGAAGATGGCTGAAGTACCTGGGCCCCTGCCATTCCTAGAGAAACCCTAATGGATTTCCTGGCTTCTGGCCTTCCTGTGAACCAGTCCCAGTCTTTACAGCCACTTAGTACAGTGGATAGAAGAGCTTTTTCTGTCTGATTTTTACTTAAAAAAAAAAGGTACAATTACAGAGGGGAGAGACAAATCCTCTGTCTACTGGTTCATTCCCCAAATGGCCTCAGTGACTGGAACTAGCCAGTGCAAAGCTAGGAGCTTAGAACTGCTTCCAGGCCTCCCAAGTCAGTGCAGGAGCCCAAGGACTTGGGCTTTTCTTTGCTGTTTTCCCAGATCATTAGCAGGGAGCTGGATGGGAAGTGGAGCCGCTGCAACATGAATTGGCACCCATAGAAGATGCCGGCACTGCAGCCTGAGGATTATCCACAGTGCCATGGTGCCGGCCCCCGAGTCCTGTCCATTTGTAGCAGTGGTTCACATGCTCTCGTTCTTCAAAGGCCATCTAAGTGATCACAGTGTGGTTTCCTGCTGAGCTGGGAGCTGCAGCAGCGCTAGTCAGGCTGGCCTGTCAGTTAGCTACCACTGTTACTTTTTTAGGCAGGGGAAATAAAACCTCTTTGCTTTTTCTGAGCTCCAAGTCAACCTTTTTCCTCTGAGATTTGACTTCAGTAATCTTACTCTGTGATAATAACTTTTCTTTGCTCTGAACTCATTTTTATGTATACAGCACTTGCATGTAGTATGTGTTAACATTTTTGGTATTCATTTTTTATGTCATTAACCATATATGAGAAATGGTGTGTTAATAGAACATTTTGCAACCTGCATGTATATTAAAGCAACTTTTAAAATGTAAATTAACGCCTGGTACAATAGCCTAGTGGCTAAATCCTTGCCTTGCATCTACTGGGCTCTCATATGGACGCTGGTTCGTGTCCCAGCTGCTCTACTTCCCATTCAGTTTTCTGCTTGTGGCCTGGGAAAACAGTAGAGGATGACCCAAACTCTTGGGACCCTGCCCCCATATGAGAGACCCAGAAGTAGTTCCTGGCTCCTGGCTTCAGATTGGCTGAGCTCCAGCTATTGCAGCCATTTGGGGAATGAACCAGTGAATGGAAGATCTTTCTCTCTGTCTCTCCCTCTATATATGTCTGCTTTTCCAATAAAGCAATAAATCTTGGGCCTAGCGCAGTAGCCTAGTGGCTAAAGTCCTCACCTTGAACACACTGGGATCCCATATGGGCACCAGTTCTAATCCTGGCAGCCCTGTTTCCCATCCACCTCCCTGCTTGTGGCCTGGGAGAGCAGTCGAGGATGGCCCAAAGCCATTGGACCCTGCACCTGCATGGGAGACCTCGAGAAAGTTTCTGGCTCCTGGCTTTGGATCAACGCAGCACCGGCCATAGGCGGTCATTTGGGGAGTGAATCATCAGACGGAAGATCTTCTGTGTCTCTCCTCCTCTCTGTATATCTGACTTTCCAAAAAAAAAAAAAAATCCTAAAAACGATGTAAATTAATGTTTACAAAGCACAGGTTTAAAATCAAGAATATTTTCTCATCTATATTTTATAATTTAAGGTGTCATAAGGCATCACTGGGCCACAGATAGACAATGCCAACTTAACTACTCAGATGATCCTCCATCTTCTATATATTTAATAGTGACTTGACAATACTTTTCAGCCACAAGCATTGCAAATTCTCATTAATATCTTAAATCAACCTTGTTCATTCAGTTCTCACTGCCACAGGCTTTCAAAAGCCCTTTGTCTTTTTTTCCTGTGTTTTTGAAATAGTCTTCTAACATGTCATCTGCCTAGCTGGTTTCACCTTTTCTCAAACTGTCCTTCACGGTGTCTTGAGTTGTAGATGAAGCTTGCCCAAATTAAATCTTTAAGCTGATACCCGTCATTTTGGCAATAAAGTGTAAAATTCCTTGTGTGATAAGGTTATTAAGTCTTCCCTCTACTTTCAAGGTTCACTTTCCAAACGCTTTGTAGATAAGTCTCAATCTGTAAGAGATGTATTTAAAATTGATACTCTCCTTTAAACTCTATCTAATCCATTTCTATTTCTCCTCATTACAATTCCCCCATATCATACATTCATCAACACACATCTTCCAATCTAACTCACTCTCACATTCACCCCCACCCACCTCACCATACCACCAAACCATCATAAATCACCCATATCATCATTCACCTACACCAAACAATAACCCACACTAATCCCTAACATTCCCCAACTCCCAAGAAAACAAAAAAATTTAATACACCATCAACCAACTCAACCCCCCATATATCAACCACAATAAATACTACTCTCCCCCAGATAATACACTATTTACATAAATTCCCAATATCGATATATATTTATTTCATTAAATCATTAAAACCCACTTTACTTACATAAAAAATTACTCATCCCCCAACAAATACCAAACCTCCCACAATAATTCTTAACAACATTTCCCACAATACTAATTCAAAAAACACATAACATAACACCTTTTTTACCAACAATCATTCCCTTCAATACTCCTCATTTTTATAATAAATTCTTCACCCACCCTCACATTTTCTAACAATTTCATATTCCAACCATCCAAATCACAATTTTCTCACCTCCACACATAATAAACCACCCCATCTTATAGATACACCAAAAAAACCCCCCCCCTAACACTACACCCAAAATTTTAAAGTAGAATACAGATAACTGGGGTAGTACACGCTCATTTTGCAACATATAATAATGTACAGGTGTTTTATGAGGATCTCACCTTAGACCTACTCTCTTGTGTTTCTGTTGCTAAAAATGAGTTTTCTATACTGTTGAAAGCGGTTAGCATCCTTAGAAAAGTGCTCCTGAGTCGTAATATTTATTCTTCCATCATTTGGTCTTGCTTTTTTATTCTATATGAAATTCTAAACAAATGGTAGACTGCAAATGAGAATTTTTATATTCTCATTTGATTTTTATTTTGGAAATAATGTTTAATATAGTTATTTACATTTTAGGATCTGTGCCTCAAAAATTTTTTGACATTTTGAAGTGGGAGATAAATTAAGCTGAAATTTAACTTTTTTTTTTAGAGATCCATTTTTATTTGAAATGCATAGTTACAAAGAGGGAAGGAGAAATGGCGATCTTCCATGTGTTGGTTCACTCTCCAAATGACCACAGTGGCCTGAACCCGTTGGTCCAAAGCCAGGAGCCAGGGGCTTCCTCCAACTCTCCCTCATGTGCCCAAGCACTTGGGCCACCTTCCGCTGTTTTCCTAGACAAATTAGCAGGGAGCTGGATCAGAAGTGGAACAGCCAGGACTCAAACCAGCATCTATATGGAATGTTGGCTCTGCAGCTGCAGGCTCAACCTACTTTGCAATGGTACTGACCCCTAAAATTTAAAATTAACTGGTATAAAGTTAATAAGGAGAGCACCAGTTTAAGAAAGTTGTTATCCAAACATGAGATTGGTAGTAGGTTAATATATGCTACCACTTGTGAAAATACACAAATTCAAACATGTCTATTAGTGTGTGTTTGCTGAGGATCTGAAAACAAAAAATGCTCGATGGCAGATGTGTATTAGTTGTTTTCAAATATGTAATAATGCTTGTGCTTAAATACTGTGTCTCTGGTTATCTTTCATTTAAGTACGATCATCCATATCACTTGTTAAAAACAACTGTTAGTATGTGAAGAAAATCTCATTTTATTTAATAGCATCTGAGAAGTTCAGAATGTTGACCTTCTGTTACTGTCATTAGTCATTGTGATGACTCATGAAAAAATTCTTTTGGGCATCTGGCGTAGCTGGTAATGTGTTGGGTTTAGATGCCCATGTTCCATGTGGGAGTGTCTTGGTTCAATACCTGGCTCCTCTGGCTCCTGTTGCCAGCTTCCAGTTAAAGTGAACCGTGGGAAGCAAGAGTGATAGCTAGTTGAGTTCCTGTGACCCAGACTGAGTTCCCAGCTCCAGCAGCCACCCAGGTCTGGGCCATTACAGGCATTTGTGGAAGGAACAAGCAGATGAAAGTGTGTTCTCTCACATGCTCATGACTTCTCATTTCACATCTCAAACACATAGATTTTTTTTTGAGATTTATTTAATTTTATTGCAAAGTCAGTTTTATAGAGAGAGGAGGAGAAAGAGAGAGGAAGATCTTCCATCCGATAATTCATTCCCCAATTGACTGCAATGGCCTGAGCTGCACAGATCAGGAGCCAGGAGTTCTTCTGGGTCTCACACATGGGTACAGAGTCCCAAGACTTTGGGCCATCCTCCACTGCTTTCCCGGGCCATGGGCAGGGAGCTGGATGGGAAGCAGGAATGCCAGGATTAGAACCGTTGCCCATATGGAATCTTGGCGTGTTCAAGATGAGGACTTTAGCTGCTAGGCTACTGCGCCAAGCCCTTAAACACATACATTTTTTTAAAAACTGTTATAATCTAGACAACATAGCCTATATGGAGATTCCATTAGTGGATACATAAATGGAAGTTCTGAAAGATTCTATATTGAAACTTTAGCTGGGTCCCAGAATGAATACACACCCCAGAAATAAAGGGCCAGATGACACTGGTTTCTGTTAGAGTACACTGCCTCATGGTGAACAATGGAACTAAGGTAAAGTTGTTGGCTCTGGAAAAGGCAACAGAATCCTTAAGATAGTATTAGCTAGGGGAAAAACAAACAGGAGCAGTAACTTTGCTGCCTCTATGGGGGAAAAAAATCCCAGTAGCTAAAATTAAAGGATGTGTAAACAAAGAAAGAACAGAGGATTTAGCTTTGTGGTGCAGTGGCTAGATGTCCCATGTAAGAGCTGTTCCACTTCTGATCCAGATCCTTACTGATGTATCTGGGAAACAGTCAAAGATGGTCTGACTCCCTGTCACCCATATGGGGGGCCTACATAGAGTACCTGATTTTATGTTATCCTAGCACCAGCGGTTATGGGCATTAGAGGAGCGAACCAGGAGCAAGCCAGTAGATGGAAGATATGTGTATCTCCCTCTCTATAACTCTACCTTTCAAATAAGTAAAAAATCTTTAACAACAACAACAACAAAAAATAGACCCTATAAAAGTCTTTCAGCAGAGCATTGGTTGAGAGTCTTTCAGCATCCCAGAGAATACCCCGTTTTAGTTACTTTGATGAGACTGATCTAACTAACTGAACTGGTTAAGCAGGGAGAGAATGACAAGTCCATTGCTTTTACTAGTGGAATTACACTCATCTTTGTGCCTTAATTAAAAACTGCTTAGTTGGAATTGCTGCAGTTCTGTGGATGGAAACTCCCAAAATACATCTCATAAGGCTTCTTGTGACATTAGGATAGCACTGAAACTAATGAAGAGTTGGTTGTCTTAATTATGGAAGGCCGTTACTTCTAACCTTGATTTAGCTGGGGTACCTGTGAACCTGAGATAGGGCTCCTCCGATCAGGTGAGACAGGAAGAACAAGTATATGAAACACAGGTGTGGAATGTGAGTGTGTGGCTGGTCACATAATCCTTGATGATGCTGGTGTCGAGATTTTTTTTTAAGTTCATATTTAATTTTATTGTGGAGAGACTTTTTAAAAAATTTTACTTCTTTTTATTATGATTATTATTTTATGATACAGTTCCGTAGGCCCTGGAATTTCCCTTACCCCCTCCACAATCCCCAGCTCACTGAGTTTCCCTATATTATTACTATAGTATAGTCCTTCATAAACATGCATATGTCCGTCATTGCGGGCGTGGACAATGGCAGCGAGTCCAGCATCCTGTTGTTAAGATATAGTAAACAGTTTCATTGGGAGTCCATATTTAGTCTGGAAGTAGAGATGCATACTACATTGTATCCTCACATCTGGATATGATAGTCTCCATTACACAGTCACTATACATTCCCTTAAATGAAAAGCCACAATACAAAATCAACAACAGGAAGAAAAAAAAATTCACAACACCATGAAGCTAAATAATGTGCTACTGAATGACTAATGTGTTGCTGAAAAAACATAAAGGAAAATGAAACTTCTTGAAGAAGATGATGCTATTGTATGATCTAACACTAACATTTAACAACTTTAATAAGAACTAGTTTGACGCTGAAAAAATTTCCTACGGAAGTGGAGAAATTTTCAACAGGCTGTACAAAATGAAAAAAAAAAATTGGAGACCCAGCCTGTTGTACGAATAGTTGAGCTATTGCATGCAGCATTGGCATTCTGTATGGGTGTAGGGGGTTAAGTCCCAGGTACTTTGCTTCCAGTCTAGCTTGCTTCTAATGCACTTGGGAAAGCAGCCGATATGCCAAGGACTTGGGTTCCTGACATTCAGGTGGGAGGCTGGGATAGAGTTCTTCATCTTGGCTTCAGCCTGACCTGGATCTAGCTATTACAGCCACCTGGAGATAGAGAGGGGAGGAAAATCAGTCAATGAAAGATCTCTATTTCCGTCTCCCTTTCTGTCTTTCAGATAAATGAATAAATGTAGTATTCTTTAAAAAGTTGAATTTCCATATCCAAGTTTTTATCAGTGCCTTACTGATATAAATTTACTTTAGAATAGTCACTCTGATTATTAACTGTAGTAGTAAACATATTTTAATATTGTTCTTTAACTTAAATTTTTATTTCAGGGCTCTCTTCTTAATGTCGAAAAGCAATTTTCAGCCACCAAAGCTAAAGGACAAATCAAAATGGTGAGTTAAAGAATACACAAGTTTTGTTTAATGCTGCTGGGCTTTGATTTTATCATCTATAAAAGAAGGGACTCAACTTTTTCCAAAGTGATACACCTGATTTCATTGCAGAGCTATGGTGAGGATGTACATTTATAATTCACTTTTATTGAAACACTGAGGGGTTTTCTTAGCTAGATAGCAGCTCCAGTAAGAGGAGTGGTGAGAAAAGGATACATTAAGATTGTCAAGATTGATCAGTTCTTTCCTGGTATTCCTTGACTTCCTTTAGTTACATATTGACTTTCACAGAGGTGATAACTTGAAAATATTTTCCACGTACCTTGACACTCAACCATTTCTCTTCATTGACTTTCCTATTTTCCATAATTGTGAAGAGGGTTGTTTTTGTTCTAAATATTTCTTTCTCTTAAAAAGTAAAGCAGTTTGTCTGTATATACACGTCCATAAAGATGTCGATGATGAAATGAAAAAAATTGTTTTTCTAGGAGTGTATTCCTCATACATTTGATTTTTAAAAATTAAGCAAAAAAAATATATATATATCAATCAAAGTTCTTACATTGAAGAATTCTTGATCTGCAGTTTCTGGATGTCTGACATGTCCGAGAATCCTCACCCTCTCAGATTCTGTATGTGCATTCATTTTTCTACTGGGACCATCTGTAGGTTTTTCCATTTCCTAAGAGGCCCCTTCCCAAAGTTGATTCGAAACCAGTGCTTTATGTAGCCCATCTGAATGTAGTTTTCTATGGGAGCAACTCATTCTGGGAATGATGCTAGAAGTGAAAGAAAGGTTGCATTGAGTAGGGGTATTTATTTACTACTGCTACCCATGTTCTTTTCTGTTGAGAATAGAATTATGTCAAGAGAATGAATTTCTTCCTATTCTTTGTTTTCTTATGTTTCTAACCACTTGAAGGGCATAATAGTAGGAATGACTGAATATGCATTCAGTATCTGGTGATTCTTAAATGCCAGTGTTAACAGATTCCAGGGTCAAGTGTTGACATAATGGGTTCAACCTCCATCTTCTACAACACTGGCAGCCCATAAGGGCATCAGTTCATGTGACCCTGCTCCACTTCCATTCCTCTTCCCTGCTAGTGTGCCTGGGAGAGCAGCAGAAATGGCCCAGAAGTTTGGGCCCCTACATCCATGTGAAGACCTAGGAGAAACTGGTTTCAGCTTGGCCTAGCAGCAGCTGTAAAGCGAATGAACCAGCAGCTGAAAGATGGTTCTTTCTGTATTTATCTCTTTCTCTCTCAGTCTTTCAAATAAATAAATAAATCTTTTAAAAATGGAGAGCATTTGTCAGTTTACTACTGTCTGACTGTATGTTACCTCTGTTGTAATACCCCAGATGTACATACAATGACTTGATTTTTTGGTAGAGAATTACTATATAATTGTTTCTGCCAGTCATTGAAGCTACTCCATCCATTTGGTTCTGGTCCAGTCTCTCTCGTAGCACAATCGTGACAGTAGTGGTCATATCCCTCTGTCAATTAATAATAGTCATGTTATTCTTTCAAGTTATGTCTTCTCTCTTGCCCTGCTTCATCAGTGCAGGTGGCAGAAGAACCCGCTTGAGTGGTAAAATTGCTAGAAACCTCTTTGGGGTTTAGATAGTCTCTTATATTGCCCACCCTACCTCTCTGCCATCAAATTCTGTCAATATAGCAAAATATATATTACTGTATACAGGTGGCAGTGAGGAAGGGATGTTCTGACCCCTGAATTGTACCTGGAAAAAATTGATCATCAATTATGTAAATGACACAGCCTACCCATTTCCAGATGTAGGGTTATTTTTATAGGTTGTATTATATACTGTATGGTGTGTTATAGTGTAATGTATATTCCATAATGCTTTAGGCAAAAAACTGACCCAGATGTTACCAAAAATAGACTGTGTTTTGAGTTTAGTGGTGGTGGTTTTTTTGGGATTTTTTTTTTTTGTGGTTTCTTTTGCCTAAATAGGACTGAGAAGCACAAGAAAAAACTCATGTTTCTAACTGCTCTTAAGTTGATTTTATTCATAACAATAAAAAGCTAATATTAGTGAAATGTTGTCTCTTTTTATTTGAAGGTCATCAACTTTTCATAATTTTGTCAAAATAGCACTAACCAAAAATCCCAAAAAAAGACCAACTGCTGAAAGACTTCTAACAGTAAGTCATTGAAATTACAGAAATTATCAAGAGATTATAGTCATGCAAGCCATTAGATATGTCACTAGGAAAAGGTATTTTAAATTGCTTAATATGAAAATATGAATGATTTTTCCTGACATGAGTTGCCATACAGTCCCTGTCAGAGCTACTCAATTTTGTCCTTGTAGCACAAAAACCAAAAGACAGCATACATGAAAGGGTATAATTTTCATACCCAGTAAAATTTTATTTACCAAAGGAAGTAGAATAACAACCTTGGGCTGTAGTTTGCTGACCCTGCCTTCTGGGAGATTCCTGAAAATATTGCTATGACTTAAAAATAATTGCTTTTCCTGGCTTCTGATGCAAATTTATTGAATGCTATATGTGTATAAAGTATTTTTGTAGTAGATAAAATTATCACAACAGCCTAAGAAAGCTTTTTAAGAATGTCATAATAATTGTGCACTTGGTACATTAACATGATTTTACTAAATTAAATGAGTACAAATGTAAAATCCACATACATTTTCTTGTTGGGATAATGGACTGTAATGTAGTGCTCATGTGCATGTCAACATAATGATATGAGTAGTGAATGTGATCTGGTTAGTCCCAATTTAGAGTTTGTGATCTATATTAACAAAAACTTTATATAGCTATATTTAGAGAAATTACTTATATTCTAAACTTAACCTATAAAAGGCTCTTTAGTTTACAATATATGTAGTTACAGGTTCTCTGATTTGTTTTTACTAATATATCCTCCATTGAAATTGTGGCATCGTATAGGCTTGTCTTTTCTGGTTAACAAACAACAGGTGCATGTAAACATTTTAGATAACCAGAGATGTAAAAGCATACTCATGAATTTTATTTTGTTTTGTTTTTACCTAGCACACATTTGTTGGACAGCCAGGTCTGTCTAGGGCACTAGCAGTTGAACTGTTGGACAAAGTGAACAATCCAGACAACCATGCACATTATACCGAAGGAGATGATGATGACTTTGAGGTAAGGAAGGGTTTTGCAATTTAATAGTTGAAAATTGTTGATACAGTGGTAGAACTTATTTTAAGATTTATTTATTTATTTATTTGCAATCAGAGTTACAGAAAGAGAGATACCCTTGATCCAGTGGTTAATTCCCTCGGATGGCTGCAACTGCCAAAGTTGAGTCAGGCCAAAGACAAGAGCTTCATCCAGATCTCCCGTGTGGGTAGCATGGGCTCAAACAGCTGGGCCATCTTCCTCTTTTTTTCCCAGACCATAAGCAGGGAGCTGGATTGGAAGATAAGCAATTGGGATACAAACCACTGCCCATATAGATTGTCTGCATTGCAGGCAGCAGCTTTACCAACTATGTCTCAGTGCCGACCCCAGAGCTTGTTTTCACAATCACTATTACAAAGATCAGTTTAGCTATGTAACTTATACTTAGCCTACCTGCAATTTCTAGTTGATGCTATTTTTATTATAATGTAACTGATTAATACTTTTCCTGTTCTAAAACTAGGATTAGTTTCTTAATATGATCTCTTTTTCTTAGTTCGGTTTACCTAAAGTGTTTAAGATGTAGCTGAGATTGGGCCCGGCGCGGTGGCGCAAGTGGTTAAAGGTCCTCGCCTTGCACGCCCGGGATCCCATATGGGCGCCGGTTCTATCCCGGCAGCCCCGCTTCCCTTCCAGCTCCCTGCCTGTGGCCCGGGAAAGCAGTCGAGGACGGCCCAAAGCTTTGGGAACCTGCACCCGCATGGGAAACCCGGAAGAGGCTCCTGGCTTCGGATCGGCGTAGCATCGGCCGTTGCGCTCACTTGGGGAGTGAATCATTGGACGGAAGATCTTCCTCTCTGTCTCTCCTCTCTGTATATCCACCTTTCCAATAAAAAAAAAAAAAAAAGATGTAGCTGAGATGAAAAAGGTCTGATCTTCCTACTGATATGTATAAATGACTTCTGTTTCCAAGAAAATAAAGGTTTAACAGCATTGATTTGGCCTAAGAGAAGAACACAGCATTATGTGCATTTTCCTCACAAAAGAGACTGCCTGGACAATGAGTAATCATTTTTTTTTAAGACTTATTTATTTTTATTACAAAGTCAAATATACAGAGGAGAGGAGAGACAGAGAGGAAGATCTATTATCCAATGATTCACTCCCCAAGTGAGCGCAACAGCCGGTGCTATGCCGATCCAAAGCCAGGAGCCAGAAACCAGGAACCTCCTCTAGGTCTCCCACACAGGTGCAGGGTCCCAAAGCATTGGGCCGTCCTCGACTGCCTTCCCAGGCCACAAGCAGAGAGCTGGATGGGAAGTGGAGGTGCCAGGATTAGAACCGGCACCTATGTGGGATCCTGGCACGTTCAAGGCGAGGACTTTAGCGGCTAGGCCACGCCGCCGGGCCCAGTAATCATTTTTGTAGCTCTGTATGTAGATGATTAACAGCATACAAATAAGTTTTAAAAGTAAATTGAAGTTTCCCCCCCCAAAAAAAAATTGAAGTTCCCATTGAAAATTTCTATCCTTTCCAATACCTTTTCACAATTATTATTTCATAATAATTACTTGTAAGGCTACTCATAACTATACATACCTTCTCTGAAATTATTGCATAATTGTTTTTACTATGTATAAATAACTTTTTAATCAGAAATGAGGGATTTACTACTCATTAGCAGGTACCTGTTTTTAACTACATATGTAAAACACAGCTGTACTTTTTTTTCACCAGTAGCTCTTTTTTTTTCTTATATAACTCTTTTTTGCTTCTATTTATCTGGATTTGCGCTTTTCATTTCATTTATGCTTTGATGTCTCTGCCTTCACTTCTGGCATTATTATAGAACTAAAGCTTATATGTTATTGATTGTTTATATTTCTATTTAATGTTCTTAAATTTTAAATTTTATCTTATACATATCTTACTAACTGCTAACACTCCCTTGATACCTGGTATGTGGCAAGTATTAGGCCAAATTATTTCCATGTTAACTCATCTGATAATCAAGCTGTTATTTGTAGTAGGTACAACTATTTATATGTCCCTGTTTTACAAACAAGAAAACAGGGAACAGAAAATGTCAGTCATTTTCCCAGTATCATATAAATAATGAATAGTGGGACCAGGATTTGGATCTGGGCAAGCTAATTCAGGGCCTATCCCCTTAGTTAATGCACCATCATTTATGTTTAAGGATTTAACAGCAATAGCCATTAGGCAACGTGTAATAGCTAATCTTTGTTACTTGTTGCCTAGTTTGTAGCATAATTCTGTAATGAATACTTTTTGAGTATTCAATGGATGTTAAATATCAGCTAAACCAGCCATACATAGATCTTTTTGCTATCTGAAACATTTTTAAATTTGGAATTAATAATATATTTTTAAAGATTTATTGGACCATCTTCTGCTACTTTCTCAGTCTATAAGCAAGGAGCTGCAGCAGAAATGGAGCAGCCTTGATAGAAACCTTGCCTATATGTCGTGCCAGCACTGCAAAGTGGATGATTAGCCTGATGTATATCACTGCACTGGGTCCAATAAATAATATTTAATCCCTTAAAATCCAAACATTGTTAAAACAATTACAACACAAATTCACTACTACTTACTGTTTCCTTTCCCAGTTGGTCTTCCCTTGGTTATAGATAACTAAACCATTTCTGTTCTCACATCATTTTTGTTGTACTTCTTGAATTTCCCCTACTTTCTGAATTCTCTTTGTCTTCTTAATAATACTGCTGTTCTTTCCATCCTTGACATGCAAAACCTTGTGCCAGGCAGTTAAGGGGCAAAATAGTGATGAGTGAGACTGGCACTGCTCCTGCCTTGACAGAATACATGTTAAAAAATCTCTAAGGAAATTGGAAAATACTAGTATATAACCTACAAGTGTAGAAGTTCTTCTGGATTGGAAAATATAGGATACTATTAAGGAATTTTATAGGGTTAGGAAAAGACTCAGTGCAGAAGTGATATTTAAGCTGAAAACCAGAAGGATGCATTGGAATTAGAACAATAGAACTGGAATAAGTATTCTGAGCAGAGGAAATAATAGCATGTCTGGAAGCCTGGTGAGAAGAAAATGTGGGTGTAGTTGAGGAACTAAAGGAAAGTGGCTAGAGCGAAAAACAGAGAAGGAAGTGGTGGAAGGTGAGATACAGGTAGACCCTGGCTTTCTCAAACAGTGTTTGAAACTTTGAACTTTAGAATAAGGCACTGGGAAACCATTTAAGGGTAAGGGAGTAACATCTGATATGCTTCTCCACACCCTCTCCCCAGCTTGTCAGATTAGTGAATACATTGCTGAACAGTTAAGACACTCCCAAATTTAGCCAAGATAACTAGATCCTTTAGCTGGTGCTGAGTACCACAAGGCTTAAAAAAAAGTAAATTAGCTTGAGAATTTTAAGAGAGAATTGGTGATTGGATGAGGATGTTGGAGTAAGGAAAAAATTTACCAGTGTAATGAACACGGGCAGCTAGATGGATAATCATATACTGATAGGAGCACTAGAGGAAAAATTAGATTTGAGAAGAAAGATTTCATTTACCTACTGAAAGATGTGGTTGTAGCATAGGGGGAAAAAATTAGTCCAGAAACACAGAATTGAGTCACTGAATATAGATGTAGTTGATGCTTTAAGAGGTAAATGCAAGTAGAAATAGTTATCACAGAAAGCACCCTGAGGCATTTCCCAAAATTTAAGGATCAGGTAAGCAAAAAAGAAACTAGCAAAATTGATGGTTAAGAAACATGAAAAGGAAAAAAAGGAGAGTTTTGTTGTTGTTCTTGTTGTTGTTGAGAATATAGTCTAAGTTATGTAGCCCTTAGGATTTAGATCGTAGTATTTGAAGACTTTGACAAGGATTATTTTCATGCAATGGAAGGGAAGCTATACTGAGGGAATGTGAAAATAAGTACAGTAGTTCATTTATCAGATTGAATTGTGAAAGACTGTAAGAACAGTAGCTGGGGAGAATGAAATGCAGCAGGATTTATTTCCTTGTTTTTATGTGTTGCAAGGAGAAGCTGATGAATGCTGATGGAGAGCAAGATGGAAAGAGAGCCCCGAGAGGAAGGCAGAGGGTGGGATGTAGAATGTGATAAGGAACTAGAACTTAGATAAAGTAACACTTCTCTGACATTAGAAAGGAGCATCCCTAACAGTGTGGCTAATGATTTGTAGTTTGTGAAGTGAGTGGGTAGGTCATTTTCTGAAAGGAAAATGGGTAGATGATGACGAATGTGACAAAGATATGAAACAGTAATTGAAAACTGTGGATGAGTTGAATGACTAGAGAAGTGTTGCCTGAAGGCTAAAATGAAATGAATGAATGAAATGAAATGAAATTCTCAGGATGTTCTGCATGTAATTGCTCTGCATGTAGTGACTGATACCTGGCATGTAATCGGGCAGGCTCATTCTATCCAGGGTCAGCATTCTGTTACACCAGTGTGTTGGATAACAGGGAGCAAAGGGAATTTGAATTATCAGCAACAGAGTGCTTCAAACTTTGGAGTAGCAATTTAAAATTCTGAGAGAAAAGTGAAGATAGGCAAGAGGCCTGTGGAGAATGATGAAGTAGTGGATCAGTGAACTTAATATTTCAAAAATATAATTTAAAAAGTATTATTGACTTTGGGGCCAATATTTCAAGGAAGTGTTACAGTGTTACAGTACAGAGTCAGTGATACCTTACAGCTGCTGTCTGTAACACTGGCATCCCTTGTGAGAGTGATAATTCAGGTCCCAGTTACTCTTATTTCCAATCCAGCTCCCTGATAATGCACCTTGGGAAGCAGCCAAACACAGACCAAGTGTTTGGGTGGGCTATGGCTGCCCATATGGGAGACCCAAATGGAGTTTCAGGTTCCTGGTTTCGTTGGCCTGCACCAAACCTGGCCATTTGTGCAAGTGAACCAGTGAGTGGAAAATCTGTTTCTGTTTCTTTCCCTCTGACACTCAGCCTTTCTTTTCTTTCTGTTTTTTTCTTCTTTATTTTGGACAACCTTTACATAGTTAATTAGGGCACAAAGGTTCAAGGGCTACAGGAAAGTGGGTCAGACTATTATTTCCACATTTTATTCCCTGTATCTGGGGAAAATGGGGAGATAAAGGGAGAAGCCCCACCCAGTCTCCCACCCATCCCAGGTCCCTGATCTGGGGCATGCTTCAAGCATCTTGCTCTTGTGGTTTTGATAGTTTAACAATTCTGAATTGCTGCCAGTCTTGCCACTCCAAGCACGATGAGGTCACTGCAGAATCCACTGACTGACATAGTCCACCTTAGAGTCTCCATTTGCCCAGTTTTTCACTGCCAACATATGACTGGGTAGTTGATTGATTTGTTCTGTCCTCTGTTGTGGTACCTGCCAGGTATCCTGTGCAGGTTCTGATAGACTGCCATATCCTCCATGTGCACCTGGTCATGCTCTCCACTGCTCTGTCTGAGCCTCTGAGGAGGCTTGGCTCTGGCACTTGCACTCCATGGTCACACCATGGAACCTGTACTTCCTTTCATGGTTAGAGTTCTGTGTCTGGCAGTTCAATTGGGGAGATCCCCAAAGAAACTTTGTCTGAGGTGATCTCAGACCAGATTCTTTTTATTTTTTAAATATTTTTAATTACATTTTATTTTATGACACAGTTTCATATGCTCTGGGATTCCCCCAACCCCTCCCCGTGCCCTCCCGCCATGGTGGATTCCTCCACCTAATTGCAGTATTATAGTTCAAATTTAGTCATGATTCTTTCATTGCAAGCATATACCATGCATAGAGTCCAGCATCTTATTGTCCAGATAATTTCAACAGTTTCTTGGGGAGACCATCTCTGGTGAGGGTGGGGATCCAAAATTGGAACTAAGTAAAGACCAGAGAAAGCTCCTCTCCTGATTCCTGGAGGAAGTTTACTGTTCTTTTTCTGAGGACCACTCAGGGCTCCTGGCTGTTGTTCTGATGACATTAGATCCTGCGAAGAAAAATTTGGGCCTCTTCCATCCCATGCAGGAGATACAAACAGGAGTGGATGATCTCAGAGTTCTCAGCCTCCCAAAGCACTCCAATTCCTCGTGGTCTCCTTGGCAGTTGGGATATAGTCCTTAGTGCCCGTACTGATAGTCCTTGGTGAGGATCCAGGAGTCCCCAGGGTTGGGACACAAGCCTCCTCCTATCCTCCTGCTCCACTCTGAGGTTACCCCCTGCTCTTTGCATGTGACCTCCTGTTAAGAGGTTGCCAGACCAGATTCTTATGTGTACTTGCAAGTACAGGGCCTGGTACAGACCATTGCCCCAATCAGCTGATGGTTGCAGTTGCTGGGTCAGTTCTGTTTCTAGTCCTGTCTTCCACTGGAACTAATGGGTGTTGCAGTCCAGCCTGGTTTCTGTCCACCACACACTCTGCCCTTGCAGAGGGAGCTGCAGCCTAGTTGGAGCGACCCACAATAACCCCCACCAGGCCCACCCTCTGCCCTGGTTCCCGTACTTGCCAGTATGTGTAGCAGCAGACTAGTCCAGTCTGTCCCACATCCCATTCAGCTCTCATACATGACTCTCTGCCTTTCAAATAGATAAAATCTGGTGGGTTTTGTTGTTTTTGCCTGGTTTTTTTTTTTTTTTTAGATTTTTTTTTTTTTTATTGGAAAGTCAGATGTACACAGAGGAGGAAAGACAGAGAGGAAAATCTTTCACCATGCATTGATTCACTCCGCAAGTGGCTGCAGTGGCCAGAGCTGTGCCAATCCTAAGCCAGGAGCCCGGAGCCTCTTCCGGGTCTCCCATGCAGGTTCAGAGTCCCAAAAACTTTGACTGTCCTCCACTGCTTTCCCAGGCCGCAAGCAGGGAACTGGATGGGAAGCGGGGCTACTGGGATTAGAACCGGCACCCATGCAAAGCGAGGACTTCAGCTGCTAGGCTACCACGCCTGGCCCGGTTTGTTTGTTTTAATGGAACAGTAGTTTAAACTGCAGTTCACAATGTTGACATCCCATATTGGATTGCCAATTCAGTTTCCAGCAGCTTAACTTCGTTTTTGGGGGGGGGGGGGCATTTTTGAGCCATCAGTAAATGAGAGTAAATAATAAGAAATTTGATAGATACAGGTCAAGCTGAAGGCCTAGTTTCGCAGGAGCAGGCAGAGATAGAAGAGAAAGTGGAGGTAGTGAACTTGCTTGGCTTACCACCGTATTCTTACTCAGTTTCCTTGTACACAGTATTTTTCTCCTCCCTACTATTTTACACCCAATCTCAGTAACCTCAAAGCTGACCCTGGGGAACCCTCTCTCTTGCTATACATTCCCCAACAAAATTCTTTTCACCAAAAAAGTAAAATAGAAAGCTCTAGTCTGGCAGTCAGAGTGTTAGATGACCTGGCTCACTAGACTGCCTGTCAGTGTTTTCATCTCTCTCTTTTTTTTTAATAAAAGAAGTCTTTACTGGCAGAAATTATTACATCTTTCAAAAAAGCTGTGTGTGTGTGTGATTCTGATTTCTGTTGTACTCCAAATGAAAAGTCTGAAACTGATCTCAGCAATGAACAAAGATAGTGGGTCCCTGTTATCATGGGGATACCATGGATGCCTGAAAGCAGGTAGTACAATACTCGATGGTATTTTCCTATCCATACACAGCTGTGATGTGTATGTAAATATTGAGCATAGTATACAGTTGACAGTAACAATGAAATAGAATCAATATTGCACCATCATCTCTTTACCTAAAACTCTTCACTGCACCCAAATAAACATTGTCTTGTGCGTTTCCACACCTCTTATGCCTACTTGGACTTCTACAACCCACATGAGAGTACAACTCCTTCGTGACAAACTTCAGTACTCCTCACTGAAAAGTCCTTTCTACCTCCTCTTTGATAATAGCTCAGTTATCCATTTAATAAATGACACTTTAACATTTCCTTTCTTTTTTTAATATCTGTCTTACCTTCTTATACCTAGTTTACCTCCTTGAGGACTAGATAGCGTGTCTTCATTGAACCTCTTCCATAATTTACACAGTAAAAGCATGGATTAATTTATACCTGTCTTACTATTCATGGTATTTATCATAAAACTTAATTTAGTAGATAATCATATTTGTCAGTAAATGGTAGCTTAATTTTTAAAAATTTGATCTTTTAACTTATTGACTGACATTTTTAAGTGTGTGTGTTATGCTTGTATTTACAGCCCCATGCTGTCATTCGTCATACAATTAGATCTACAAACAGGAATGCCAGAGCTGAACGGACAGCTTCAGAAATAAATTGTATGTGTTTGTTATTCATTTTCCATTGGTGGTTTTGGATGATGGAACTCGGTGTTATACTTTTTATGGAATAATAAAATCTCATACTGATTGAGGCAATGTATTTTAATATATCAGAATGATCTAGAGTCTGGTGCTGTGGCATATAGTAAGCCAAGCCTTTGCCTGCACTGCAGGCATCCTGTGTGGGACCCAGTTTGTGTCTCGGCTGCTTTACTTCATATTCAGCTGCTTGTTTGTGGCCTGGGAAGGCAGTGGAGGATGTCTCAAGTTCTTGGGTCCCTGCACCCACATGGGAAACCAGGAAGAAGTTCCTGACTCCTGGATTTCTTACCTGCCTGGCTCCAGCCATTTGCGATTTGAGAAGTAGATCAGTAGGTGGAAGACCTCTCTATTTCTCCTTCTCTGCAGTTCTTTCAAATAAAAATAAAATTAATCCTTTAAAAACATAATGCTTCTAATAAGATTTGCTTTTCTATTCTTGGTAGAAAGCCCATGATTTTTACATCTCTTCACCTTGACCAAAGCCAGTCCATATTTGATATGTTTTGCCAAATTTCTTTTATGTTTCTCCATGTATGTTTTTACCTGGATGAATTTATACTTAAAAATTTATTTCATGGGGCCTTGCACGGTAGCCTAGTGGCTAAAGTCCTCGCCTTGCATGCACCCAGATCCCATATGGGCACCAGTTCTAATCCTGGTGGCCCCGTTTCCCATCCAGCTCCCTGCTTGTGGCCTGGGAAAGCAGTTGAGGATGGCCCGAAACCTTGGGACCTTGCACCTGCATGAGAGACCCGGAAGAGATTCCAAGCTCCTGGCTTCAAATGGGCTCATCTCCAGCCGTTGCAGTCACTTGGGGAGTGAATCATCAGATGGAATATCTTCCTCTCTGTCTCTCATCCTCTCTGTATAACTGACTTTCTAATAAAAAAAAAATCTTTTTTTTTTTTGAAAATTTACTCCATTTAGAACTTTCTGTATATTAGCTTAGTCTTTGTAACTGTTATGTTTATGGCATTGTGTTTTATTAATGATATATTTAGGCAGTTCCCTATTGCACATTTTCACTGTTTTCAATTTTTATAAATTATTACAGATTTTGTCAATTATTTTTGAGAATTTATTTGAGCCAGAGAGCTCTCAACTTCTGACTTACCTCCCTAATGTCAGTAACAAAGGTTGGGACAGGACTGACGTAGGTCCAGAAACGCAATCCAGTCCCATGTGGTTAGCAGGAACACAGTTACTTGACCCCTCACTGAATCTCCCAGTATCTGCATTAACTGGAACATGGATTCAGGAGCTGGAGGCAGGAGTGTGTGCTAAGCACTCTGATACAGAATGCAGACAGCTTCTCAGAGCACCAGCCCCTCTATTTTGTTTTTCTTTCAGTTAATTCAAATATTAAATAGATGTATGAAGAATTTAAATTAATTTTAAATGTGTATATACTCACTACCACCCAGAAGTGGAGATGGGACGTGGCCAGAATCTCCAAGGGCTACCTCATACTCCTTCACAGGCAGTGCTCTTCCCTCCAAGAGTTCCCCTACTCTGGCTAGCTGATCTCTGCTGTGATCTCTCACCGTGTGTAGTGATGTATTTCACCATGTGATCACCACAATTTGTCCATTCTTCCATTCATAGGCACTGTTGTTATGCTTTTTGGTAGGCATGTAATTATTTTGAACTGAGCCCACACTCAGTCTAAACTTGCCAGGGAAAAAATGTGTAGCCCAGTGTGGCAGAGCTCACACCAGAGCAACCATAGAGCATGGCATCGGACTCCAGAGAAGAGGTCTGGGATGTTAGACATAGTGATTTTCCAGTGATGTTGATGTGATGACCTTGAGCAAAATAGCCATGCGTTCATTGAAAGGGTGAACATCAGCCTTACGCTGTGGAAGCAGACTCGAAAATGTGTTTCTTTGGAAACTCAAAATGTTGGGTTCAGAAATGTCTTTATTCGAAGCTTTGCATCTGGGTTGAAAATTGAGACTGCTTCTGTGTGTTGGTGAATTGCGTCTTCCAGGCTAGAATAAAATGATTCACTCTAATGAGTGTGATGTCTTACAGCAGAGTTTATGACAGTCTGTAATTTTACAGCATGAGGTTTCTCAGTAAGAAAGCAGTAGAACTCAGGGGGTTATTATATGAAACTGCATATGTGGAATATTTTTGGGAAGAACATTGTTTCTTTTTCATTTTGTCTTTGTGTGTTAGTCTATCCTCCCTTCCTGATGAAAGGCAGGGCAGATTTCTCTATTGCTGTCTGACCCAACTATGTGTGCACTAGCTAAATTGCCTAGTTCTATAATTTTGTTTGTCATCTGAAGTCAATTCATAGCCTAGTTACCTAGGAAGAACTACACAGAATTGACACCACAGAAAGTTGGGAGACAGCCACAGAAAAAAATTGAGTTCAAGCCCAACATTTGGTTTAATTACATAATTTTAGCTAATTTCTAAGTAAATTTTATTCAGGTGTTGAACTCATACCAAGGACTGACTAGGGCTACCAAAAGCAGTATCTTTTAAAAGATTTATTGAATTTATTTGCAAAGCAGAATGCCGGAAAGGGAGAGACAGAAACCTTCCACCTGCTTGTTCATTGCTTAAATAGCCACATTGGCCATGACTGGACCAGGTGAAAGCTGGGAATCTGGAACTCCATTTAGATTTGCCACATGGGTATCAGGGACCTAACTACTTGGTCATCATCTGCTGTGTTCCCAGGTGACTTAGCAGGGAGCTGGATGGAAGCAGAGCAGCCTGTACCTGAATCAGCTCTCCTATATGGGATGCCATTGTTGCAAGCTGCAGCTAATCAGCAATGAATGTAGATATTAACATGCTTATTCTGTCAGGGATTGCAGTTCCTTTGCTTCCAAACACTTGATTCCTATAGTTTGTACACACACACTTGTTTTACATGGATTTAGTTGTTGCAAGATTAATTCTGACTACTACTTGGAAGAGTAATTCTGATTCTTGAAACTTAATTGTGGCTAAAATCTTAACTTTTAGAGGATTCTAAAGCATTCCCTTACCTTCTCTTGCCTTTGTTAAGACTCTAATTTTAGTACATAGTAAATTCTTATAATTAAAGCAATAATTTATAGCCATATGAAAATCTTTTATAGAGCCTCATGGCCTGCTTGCCAATTTTTCTAATTGTGACAATAAAAAAAATTATCTCTGTCTCCAAAAAAATTATTCTTAATTACAATTAAAGTACACACTATATTTTATGAGATGTCTTCCAAATTGTTTAATTGCAATTTTCTTTTAAAAATATATTTTTATTAGAAAGGCAGTTATACAGAGAGAAGGAGATATAGAAAGAGCTTCCATAGACTGATTCACTCCTCAAGTGGCTGCCACACCAGAGCTAAGCTTATCTGAAACCAGGAGCCAGAAACCTCCTCTGGGTCTCCCACATGGATATAGGGTCCCAAGACTTTGGGCCATCCTCCATTGCTTTCCCAGGGCACAAGCAGAAAGCTGGACAGGAAGTGGAGCAGCCAAAAGATGAATTGGTGCCCAATTGGGATCCTGGTGCATGCAAGGCAAGGATTTAACTGCTAGGTTATTGTGCTGGGCCATTCAGTGAAAATTTTATAACCTGATTTTGCTTAATGTGATTGAATTACGCAGGTAATTTGTGGGTTTTTTGTTTTTAAAGATAAGGACAGTGTGATTCTAAGTCACATTGCTTTTTAAATGCATTTTTCCCTAGTCACCTAGTTCTGATGAATGTTTTAAAGATGTCTTTTATGCAAAAATGTGCTGTTTAATTTTCTGACTTCAACAGAGAATTTAGTAGAAATGATAGGAAGATGTCAGATTACTTTCTTTTGATGAATAAAAAGGGATTACTATTGTAGTTATCAAAAAAAAAAAAAAAGAGGAAAGAAAAAAAACGAGAGAGACTTTTGGTTCTTTCTTGTACATCCTTTGTCTCTTTACCAGCATAGAAACTTCTCATTATATTCCTGAGATACCAAACCTTTAATACACTGATTTTATCCATGTCTGTTATGTGTTTTTCAGTTGATAAATTACAGTTTGAGCCTCCTCTGAGAAAAGAAACGGAAGCACGTGATGAAATGGTAAGAACTGTGAGTTTCTATGTATGTTCATATTAAAATTTGAAAAAACTTAAGTGTGCTATGATTACAGAACAAATTAATATATTCTGTTAAGTATCCATTTTGACAATGTACTTTTCACAGTTTGAAATAGTTTCTAGTTTAGGTGCATTTTGATTAGGATATAAAGTCGCATGCTATGGAAACCGTTCATTGTCTCTAGAGTCTGAATTGCCACATAGTTATTAACCACAGGGAAAACCACCAGCTTTAGGTCACAGGGCCTTTTCTCTTACTAATTTTGTGAAGTGTGCAGTATGTTCTGTATCCTTACCTTGCCTTACTGTTTTTCAAAAGTCTTATTTGTTAGTACAGCTTTTTATAAAATTGAGCTTGTTTTGAGATCATTAGTTACCCTTTCTTTGCTTAGAAGAAAGGAATTAAAAAAGGAAGATAGTATTAGAGTCAGTCTAGAAACTGTCTTTAATGTCTTTAAATTTTAGTTAATAAAACATGGCTTTTAGCAATTTTTTCTTACGTTTAATGTATCTCTTCCTTAACACTTAAAATCAGTGCTCTTCTTACTGTAGATGTCATTGAATAAGAAGTCTTCAGGTTCCATGCCAAGAGGGAAAAGGAGTATATCCATCAATAAATAAAAATTTAATAATAAACTCTTTAGTTCTCCATGCTTAAAGGGTTGGTGACACACCCAACTCAAAGATATTTTTTTCTCTTTTGCTTTGGAAAATGCTAGCATATGAGTCATGAGAACTTGTCACATTTGGAGCCACATTTAGTGTGTTTGTGGAATTTCTAAAATTTTTCTCAATTGATAATGAGTCATTGACCTAAATAGGTCAAATGACAAAGCAAAGCTAGCTGAATATTCAAAAAGTGATTGAATACTAAGATAGTTAGTAGTCATTACACTGGTATATTCTTCTTGGAGCAAATAGAAGTTACTGTCTGGTATGGAGTAACTTTTTGGTTTTTTTGTTGTTAGAAAGTAGCATTTTACCACTTTTTAAAAATCTTTACAGGGAGTATCCTCAGACCCAAACTTTGTATTACATTGGAATCCTTTTGTTGATGGTGCAAATACTGGCAAGTAAGTAGTTTTCTGATTTACTTATTTTAATTTGTGCATAGGGACTGTATTGGGTGGATTTTTTATTTGAATTTTTAGTTGAAATGGTTCTGTGTTGTCAGTGTGAATAGCATCATATGTTGCTTAGTAAGGATTTGGTTTTTTTAATCAAAATGAGCGTAATGATGTAATGCATTGAAATTTGAATCATTGGGGAAAAAAAGGAAATCATGGAGAGTTAGGAAACAGGGGGCTCCTAGACCTATCTTTCCTGAGAAGTTCTGTCTGCCTTCAGTGAGTTATTGCTAGGCTGTTTGTGCAGTAACTCGGATAACTCTGGAAATACAGATTCCTGGGTTCCAACATTAAGCTGTAGATTTGGGGTTCACAAAGTATGACTGGAGGACCAGAACTAGCCCCTTCCTTGTTTTGATATCCCCCATGCTTTAAGAACAGTGTATTTGACTTTTAGTGTTGAAAAAAAAGTTTAAATACTATTTTTGTCATATATGGAAATGATCTCAACATACAAAAATGAAGGTTTGTTAGGGTACAGCCATGATAAATTGTGTATTTATAGCTGCTTTTGTGCTACAGTGGCAGAGTTGCATATCTGTGACCACTGTGTATGTCACAAAACCTACAGTCTTTACTGAGTGGTCCTATATAGAGAAAGTTGCCCATACTCTGTTGTGGAAAACTGTCTTTGGGACTGGAGAGTAATAATTGTAAAAGCTTCAGGAATTATTGCAGTGACTTTGCATAAGTGTAGAAACCATTGAGTTAGGCTAAATCCAGTGTTTCTCAGACTTAAGTGCCTGTTGTATACCTGATGAGCTTAAATTGGACATTCAGGAGATGAACAGGTTAAGCTGTAGCCTGCAGTGCCAGCATACCATATGGGTGCCTGTTGGCTTTTCTGGCTGCTCCATTTGCAGTCCAGCTCCCTGCTAATGTGCCTAGATGAGCTGCAGAAGATGACCCAAGTGCTAGGGCCTCTGCACTCACATGGGAGACCTGGAGCTCCCTGCCTCCTAGCTTGGATCTAGCACAGTTCTAACCATTGTGGCCATTTGGAGGGTTAGCTAGAGAATGAAAGATGCATTCATATTCTCTCTGTCTCTCTGTCTCTCTCTCTCTCTCTCTCTCTCTCTCTCTCTGCCCTCTCTTATTCTTACCCTGTAAATCTGATTGCCAAATAAGTTTTTTTTTTTTTTTTCAATAAAATGGCTAATCTGAGTGAGCACTTCTACAGTGTGCATTTTTAAGAATGTATGTTCCTGGGATGTGCTCGTGTTGCTGGAAACACACTTTGGAGTAGCAAAGGATTTAAAAATAATCTGTTTGAATTTATGTACTCCGTCTCTGAAAGTCTGAGTCTACTTTCTGCTAGTAAATACGGGATCTTTTAATTCTTATTTTTCGTTTCACACTTTTGTAAGTATAGGGTTCCCCTTCCTCCTTCCATCTCTCCCTCCCTCTTCTCCCCTTGCTGTTGTCCCCTGTAGCTTACGATAATACAGTCCTTCAGCTACAGTCTCATCTCCAGCATACTGCTCTTTATGTGTGTCATGACATTGCAGGTATAAGCAATGGTAGTGTCTAGTATTTTGTTGTCAAGAACTTATTTTTAATTAAACATTAAATCTAGCAAAATATACTATGATGTAAAAAAGACTTTTTAATCACTTTATAAACTGTACTTTAAGTCCTAGTAATACATTTTAACAACATGAGGTCCTTGGTCTTCCTAAAAGCATTATCCTCCACATAATGCTCTTAATGTCTTTTATTATGTCTGGTATTGTAAGTAGATTTTTTTCTAAAAAATTTATTTTATTTTATTGGAGAGTCAGATATACAGAGAGGAGAAACAGAGAGGAACATCTTCCATGCATTGATTCATTCCCCAAAGTGGCCACAATGCTCAGAGTTGAGCCAGTCTCGAGCCAGGAGCCAGGAACTTCTTCCGGGTCTCCCACGCAGGTACAGAAGGCAGTGGGCTGTCCTAGACTGCTTTCCCAGGCTACAAACAGGGAGCTGGATGTTAAGTGGGGCCACCACGAAATGAACCTGCATCCGTATGGGATCCTGGCATGTGCAAGGCAAGGACTTTAGCCACCAGGCTCAATTTTAATGCATATTTAATAGCATCTGTTTATATTTTGCTCATTTATTACTATCAAAATTGTGTTTTTATATTAGATCGACCTCAAAACGTGCAATCCCACCCCCTCTGCCTCCTAAGGTAAGCTACTTTTGAGCAGTAAACCTTTGGTTATGTAATTAGAAATATTTTGGTCAATTTTATTCAGAATTCTCTAACAAATATTTTAGAGAAAGGTAATATTCAACAGGAATATATGAATATTTAAAATATGCAGTAAGGAAAATTTCATGACAAATAGAATATTTGTAGTCACTATTTGGAAAAGACAAAAATCAGTATTGCTCATTTGTGAAAATATTTGAAGAGGAGCCAGAGTTCATCATTTGTCATTCTCTGTTATTCCTGCAGATGGACATCTTTGTAGAGTCGTGTTCCATTAAGTCTTCTTCCTTGTTTGTTTCTAGTTATTAAATACTTTGTTGATTGTTGACATAATTTTGTTTATCAAAATTGCATCAGTTGTGGATTGATGCTGATTAAAAATCATGGCAGATTGTTGGTTATATGAAGTGAACTCAACTCTTGTTTACTTAAGCCGGTGAATGGAACTGCACAAAAAAAAGAAGATCCATTTTCTCCTTTCTGAAGTATTTGTGGGCTAATGGTAACTAATTATCTCTTAAAGTATGTTTTTATTTTCTTATTACTAGCCAAGGATCAGCAGTTACCCTGAAGACAACCTCCCAGATGACGAAAGATCATCAACCATAAAACGTTGCCCTGATTCAGACAGCAGGGCTCCCCATGTGCTCAGAAGACAGAGCAGCCCAAGCTATGGTCCTGTAGCAGAGTCGTCCTCTATTGGTATGGCTGGCAGTGTCAGCAGCCCTGGAGTGCACACAGCTAGATACTGTGATCTGGGTAAATAAATCAAAGTAAACACTGGGAAGAAATCCACTTCACTCTTACCTTAAATAGTATCTTTTTTTCTTAATTACATGAGAATTTAAAGCTTATTGAAGCTTTGAATTCCATATGAGTGGGCTATAAATAGATATTACCCACTTCAACGCTGCTTTGACTACTTGCTGAATATTATACAATCCAAAGGATGAATGTGTATTTCTTCCTCCAAAAGGTTAGGGGCTTTACAGTTCACACCTATAAGCTCATAACATCAGAGGAGAAAATACTGTGTATGTCTCCCACACCTATGATAAGTAATAGAAGACCAGAGATTTTTGAAAAGGAAAGGGCAAACAGATAGAGGAAGTGGTTTCTTGTAGTATAGGAAAGAATTTGTTGAATCTTCAGAAGGTAGACCAGTGCTGACCAGGCCTTCTTGCAGACTAAGAAAGACATGAGTAAATGCATCAGCTCAGGCCATCTGAGTTGTATTTGAAGTACCATCTACTATGGTGTAAGTTTGACACTTAAAGGGAATTTAGGACTAAACATAAAGTTCAATCATGAAAGTCTTTGAGTATCAGCATCAGTATGTCAGCTTTCATTTTTGTCACAATGTGGGTAAGAATTTTCTGTTTCCCTAGATTTAAAACGCTGCTGAAGTTGCTCTGCTACTTGTACAGGATCTAGAAAAACATACTCAGGATAAATTAATTCATCCAACAATAGAAAATATTCCCTTATTGGTGTGGGTGGGTTAAGTCACAGCCAGTATCATGTGCATCCCATATTGGAGTGCCTGGTTTAAGTCCTGACTGTTCCATACTTCTGACCCAGCATCCTGCTAATATACCTGGGAGCAATGGGTGATGGGGCACTGCCCAGATTCCTGCCACCCACGTGGGAGACCCAAGTGGAATTCCTAGTTCCTGGCTCCTGACTTTGGCTTGGCTGAACCCTAGTTGTTGTTATCTGGGAAGTGAACCAGCATTTGGAATTTCTCGTCTCCTTTTCTCTTTTCACTTACTCTCAAAGAATAGATAAATAAATCTGAATAACATATTTTATAATAAGGGATCACCCAAGTGGGAAATAGTAACTAAAGAAAAAACCCTATTTTTCACAAAAAGTGCTCTCTTTAAGTGTGATCATTGAGCTTTTCTTTCTGGACTTTCTTTAGGAAATGGGGATGGGATCTCCAAGCTGATGAGTGAAAACACAGAAGGATCAGCACAAGCACCGCAGTTACCACGGAAGAAGGACAAACGAGACTTCCCTGTAGGTATTAACAGGCCTTTTAGAATTAGCTGCAACTGGTACCATGTTTATCAACTAAGGAGCACAATCTCTTTAATTCAAGAATTTAAATAAGTGAATTTCTAACATGACTTATGCAGTCTTATATTAAAAAATCATTTTTCTTGCAGAAACCAGCCATTAATGGCCTTCCACCTACCCCAAAAGTGCTGGTAAGAAATGTTTTTATGTGAACTATTTGCTATTTTTTCTACTATAGAAGCAAGCAGAAGTAGGTTTGCTATCAAGTGCCTTGAACCATTGTAAAGAATTAGATATAATTGGAATTTAGGAACCAAATCATGTACTCTTACTTGAATGAATTAGTTCAAATTTGGCATGTTGAAATTTCCTAAATACTGACAGCTGTATTCCCAGATAAAATTACAAAGACTAACTTAATTTTATCATAATGGCATCCGTTCACTTCGTTAGTGGCCTTCTGTTCCTGAAGCCATTTTCACACTTTTTCCACAAGGACACTGGACTGTACACTGAAAAGGAATGGGAGACATGTAGCGATGCTTCAGAGGAGCCTAAATGTGGTGCTTCAGCCACTCCTGTGAATGGGTGCTGTAGAAATTAGACTTTATTTAGTGAAAGTCTAACATTCATATCAGTCTTTTTGTCTGTTGTAACAATTTTAGAATTGTGCTAAAATTATACTCACAATAACATTTTTTAATAAAATCATTGACTTAAAATTTCTATACTGTATAGTTGGCAAATCTAGATATCATGGTAAACTTGTTTTTGCCTTAAATTAGTAGATTGTAGTAGGAAAGAATGGTAGACATTGTTGGTAGAAGGAATAAAAGTGTGTCCAAGGTATGAATTCAGTTTTGGGATGAATCCATAACTACCTGAAAATAAGAGTAAACTTGACATTTCATAATGCTCTTACGTATTTTCTAACAAAATATAAATTATCTAAACAAATCAACATTTCTTTCTTTATAAATAAGATGGGAGCGTGTTTTTCAAAAGTTTTTGATGGCTGCCCTTTGAAAATTAATTGTGCAACATCCTGGATACATCCTGATACAAAAGGTAAAGTTTCTAATTTTATGTGCATAAATAGTAAAAGCATTTATGTATAGCCTTATGAAATTCTTATGAAAGGATCCTTGCAACCAGTGATTTGAGGTTTATTTTCAAAATCTGACCTTAGAAACTAAAGGGTACAGAAACCTGCAACAATCTGTATAGATAGTTTTCATTTACAGGCATTAAAATTAAAGAGTTTACAGGAACTATTCTGTACTGAAGACTAAAAAGATACCACAATTGATTGTATCCATGAAATTTCTTTCATCGTCCAAGGACTATATAGTGATAATTTGTCAGCTGAATCAGTAAAATCTGTACATTTGATAATTGTTTTGTTTCAGTGTTAATGTCTTAAGGAATATATATAAGATACTTGTTTTAAAAAAATGAAGTATATGTAGGAGTAAAGGAAATTCAAGATTATAATTTAAACATTTCAGAGAAGGACAGATTCTACTTATGAAGAATGAAGGATCGAGCAGACACAATTCACGTGTTGAAAGAATCTGTGTTTTAACCCAAAATCCATTTTTTAATTTTATTATCCCGGTAATATCTTTATGCTGATACTCAATATTGTATGTTTTATCTTAAGCTTCCTTAATCTAGGAAAGTTCTTCATCTTTCTTTTTCTCCTAATTTTCACTTCTTTTGTAAAATTTCCCTTAATTTGGAATTGTCTAAGAAATCGCTTAGACCAGGTTTATGTTTTTATTTTTAGGACAACACAAATATTATACTGCTGTTCTCAGTACTTCATTCATTAGGCACATGATAGTAGCTTGTCCGGATATTATTGATGTTGATCAGTTAATTAAACTGATAGACATTAGCTTTGCCCACTGTCTAGTTATACTTTTTGCCTCTCTGTTTATGAAGAAATTGGTGTTGTGCCAGGTAGAGGCTCACTTGGCTCTTGCTAATAAGATTTCTGCTCATTAATTTCACTGTCCATTGACAGTCCATAAGCACTAGTTTTTTCTATACTTCTTATTAACTTATGTATTTGTATCAGTTGGCACATTTTTTTATTGAATTCAGTAAGATACCATCTACCTATTATTAATTGATTTTTACACTTAAATTGTCCCAGAGTCTTTGAGCGGTGTTAGACAATATCCTCATAGTTTTTTGAGTATTTTATAGCACAGTAAGATATCTTTGTTCATCTTAAACTCTCCTTGCCTCAGAATAGGAATCTTTCTTTTTTCCAAGAAGTTCTAGGTGTTTTTTGTGTATGTGTGTGAAAAATGGTGTATAGAAACCAAGATGTGGACTTTAAATTGTACTCATTTTTTTTCTAGTGTGTCATGATTTACACTTTGTTCTTGGTACATTTTCCTTGTTCAAAACATCATTTAAGATTCCGTTGCAAAAATTCACTACTACAATAGAAGAAATGAAAGTAACGTTGAAGGAGGAATGATTATGTAAAGATGAAGTCTGAGAGAATTCATCTAACATATACTGTATTGATAAAGCAATAATTGGAGATAAGATTTTAAGAAAATTCCCTGATTTTAGAAAATGATTTTACTTGGATGGGTGGGTGGATAGATGGATGGATGGATAGATAATTGATTTTAATGCCATTACAACATAAAACCATTATTTCAGTGAATGGTTTCAATAGTGATAGTAAATTTTGGTAATTTATCAACTATTTTAGATCAATACATTATTTTTGGAACTGAAGATGGAATTTACACATTGAATCTCAATGAGCTACATGAGGCAACCATGGAACAGGTAATGACATACAGAATAAAAGTAGTATCTTAATTTTACATCAGTTTGCTGGTCTCCAATTGGATTTTTAGGAACTAAATATTTTTAAAAATGAAATTTTTCCATAAATGTATTAAATTTTTCCCACAAAAATGACGCTGATGTCCTGAAAGATGATATAGTTACTTAAGAATGTTGTTAATTTGGAGGAGAGAGACAGAATGGAAATTAAGGGGGTTAATTATCTTTCTTCATTTTTCTGTAGTTATTTCCACGAAAGTGTACCTGGCTCTATGTTATCAATAATACTTTAATGTCATTATCAGGTATGTATGTAACGGTAAAGAATAAACTATATGATAGAAAAATGTAAATTTATTAACCAAAGAAATGTAATTTTAATGTTCAGTGTTTTAAAATGTGGCTTTTTAGTCTGTGTAACTGCAATGTAGTACAGTAAATGGGCTTTGTATTTCCTGCTTCTTAGCATGGGACGAAGCTTTGAGCATGTCTTCGGTTAGAGCAGCGCTTCCCAAACCTACCCAGCATCTTGGCCTCTGGGTGGTAAGGCAGTGACTGCCCCAGGCCATTCCCTTCCTCAAGGCCTGTTGCTTACCTGGAGAATTGACATTCTGGAAGGTGAAGCAAAGGCACCCCTCTTCTGTGTGATCTCAAGCCAGTCATTTTCCCTGCCTCAGCCTCAGTTTTCTTAATTATAAAATGAGGACAATGAGTCGGGAATGTACCGGCAACCCATATGGATGCTAGGCCTGGTGCTGGCTGCTCTAGTTCCAATCCAGCTCCCTGTTAATGGTCTGGGAAAGCAGTCGAGGATGGCCCAAGAACTTGGGACCCTGTGTCCACCTGGGAAACCTAAATGAAACTACTGGTTTCCAGCTTTGGATCAGCCCAGCTCTGGCTGTTGCAGCCATTTGGGGAGTGAACCAGCAGATGGAAGATGAGTGTTTGTCTGTAACTTTTTCAAATAAAATAAATAAATCTTAAAAAAAAAAAAAAAAAAGGACAGTGGGGTAACTGTAATGGTCTCATGACATCATTGTGAGGATGAAATGAGGTGATATACAATGTGCTGAATTAGGTATGATATCTTCCAGAGGTGTCTTCTTTTATTTCATGTTTTTCTGCTAACCCTCTGGGATAATGCTTGACACTCTTCAAAACAAGTCAGCTCCCAGAGCAGCCTTGTGTAGCTTGACTTCTTGTGCTTTTCCTTTTTTCTTCTTAGTGGTTGTTGGGAGTTGAAAGGCTGGGTGGGTAATATTTTGAATTTCTTTAAAAATTCTTGCCTACCAAAAATATTTCCTTATATTTTACATTTAAATGACTACCTGTAGGTTTCCTGATTGAATTCATTCTGTTAAAGTCCACAATAGTTAATTATTTTTTCTCTCTAGTAGAGATTTGTCAGAAATATGGGTATTTCAACTAATTCCATCATTCATGAACACATATCGTTTGCTTGTGCTTAAGTGGTTTCTAAAAAGCCTCAGAACCAGTCCTGCAAAGACAGTGTCACATGCTACCACTGATTTGTGGTAGCTAATGTGTAGAGTACAAATCATTTAATATATATGAGTGAAGTTGACACCTTGGGATTTTATTAATGAACAGAGGTCTTCCTACTGCTTGTTGAATTCTTTATTCATTAAGCCTATGACCATCAAGTAAATTAAAAACATGTTATCACAAAAAAAATGTTTAAAACCCTTTCTTTTTGAGTTAATGGTTGAAAAGTATAGGCATGTAAAATCATTTTTCTTGATTTCTCTGGCTATTTTTGTTCCTTTGTCTTTGGAAATGCACTTAAGAACTACGTAGGCTACATTTCATCTGTAAAATTTCTATGAGAAAGCAGGTAGAAAGTAAGCCTATTAGCCTTTCCATAGCCTTGTTTAAATGACTGATAAAGCTAAAAACAGGTAGACAGCAGAGCTCAGAAGCAGAAAATGTTCACATGCATTTGTGAGCACATTTGGTTGCCCAGCTACCTAAGTAGCTAAATCTAAACAGAAGAAAGAGAGGGGAAATACCATGTTATACAGAGTGCGCCCAGTCTAAGAACACGCGAGACTTTTGTTAAGGATGATCATGTTTTCTAATACTAACACTAATGCTAATACTAATACTAATTCTAATACTCTTTTATGTTATATCCACCATACCATGAATAACGAATTAAAAGAAGCTGCTTACCATATCACACCCTTAAAATGGCTGCATTTGTGATTCTGTGGAGTTGTACCCCTGGTGTCATGTATTGTAGCTTATAATATTGGTTTTATTTTCTTAGTTTTTTAATATGTTATGTCTGAGTCTTCATTCATGATCACTTTTTATCATAGTTTCCTGTGTTATACTAAAATAATCACATGGGCATCGTTGTCAGTCAATCCATGGTATAAGATTTTATATGACAGTGACCACCAATTTATTTTTCTATGGTGACATCACTGAGGATGTGTATATTCTGCCCAGATCAAGTGTTAGAATACACTTAATTTATTCAAAACATTCACCTACTTGCTTGAAAATTACTTTACCTGTTACTATCTTTCAAGGTAGCATTAACTGAGTTTTTGTTTTATGTGTGTTTTTCTGTATTGCTTGGCTTTTGGAACCTTACTGGACTCCTCATTTTAGAAGGTAATTGCATTTTCTTTAGCTTGAAAATTGTATTTATATACTGTAAATTGTTGTAATAAAAATAACATGTTTTTCTTTTATAGGAAAAACCTTCCAGCTCTATTCTCATAATCTTATAGCTTTGTTTGAACAAGCCAAAAAACCAGGATTGGCTGCCCATATTCAAACTCATAGATTTCCAGACCGCATACTGCCAAGGTACAAAATGTCATTTTGGATGGTAAAGGAAATTAGGATCTATTTTTAAGACAGATGGATTTAAACAAAACAAAACAAAACAAATGGAAAAACAAAAGAACAGAAAAAGAAACTTTGCTTATCCATGTGAAGCGTATGTGGCATTTTTATGATACAAAATCTCAGACCCTACCTCTGTCCTCTTAAAATTAGATTGTATGGAGTCACAGAGTCCAAGACAGTTCTGTTTTGTTTGTTTTTGTTTTTTAGCCTCTTTAGTTTCTGATTCATATCCAGTTCTTAAGACACTATTTCCAGCAAATAAATTATATGTAGCTATGTATATATGTGCACATATATGGGGTAGGCGTTGACCTACAAGTTACGATGCCCATGTCATGTATTGAAATGCTGGGTTAAATAAAATCCTTACTCCTGAATCCAGCTTCCTGCTATTGAAGGCCCTTGGAAGGCCTGGGTGACATAGTTGGGCAGCTGCCATCCACATGGGAAACCTGAACTTGCTCCCAGCTTCTGAAGCTATTGGAAACATTTGGGAGTTGAATAAGCCGATGGGAGCTCATAGTTTATTTCTCTGTCTTTGTCTCTCTGTGTCTCTGCAATAAATAGATAAATGTTTAAATAGATAATAACTTGCTGTATATAACCACTATTGTAAATACATTTATAATGTCTTATGTTTTCAGAAAGTTTGCTTTAACAACAAAGATTCCCGATACAAAAGGCTGCCACAAGTGTTGCATAGGTAAGTACTGTTTCTCAAACTGGATAGTTTGAACTTAAAGAATTTTTAAAATAATCTGAAGAGTTTCATAGAATCAAATAGGAAAACAGATTTATTTTTAAAGATTTATTTACTTATTGTTAAGTCAGCTATACAGAGAGGAGGAGAGACAGAGAGGAAGATCTTCTGTCCGATGATTCACTCCCCAAGTGAGCGCAATGGCCGATGCTATGCCGATCCGAAGCCAGGATCCAGGAACCTCTTCTGGGTATCCCACACGGGTGCAGGGTCCCAAAGCTTTGGGCCGTCCTCGACTGCTTTCCCAGGCCACAAGCAGGGAGCTGGATGGGAAGTGGAGCTGCAGGGATTAGAACCAGTGCTCATATGGGATCCAGTGCCTTCAAGGTGAGGACTTTAGCCACTAGGCCACGCTGCCGGGCCCAGATTTTTTTTTTAAACTCTGATTTTGATGAAGAGTGGCAGTGTCATTTAAGCACAAAAATGTATAGAAATAAGGCCTAGAAATGTTTGGAGCTAATGCCCTTAATGTTTACTCAGAGCACAGTGCCCTAGAGTTTTCAAACCATAGTGTCCAACACTGTGTGTCTCATAATATCATTGTCGCTCTCAGTCTCATTCCACCTATCAGATAAATTACTCTTAAAAAAAAAATGAAGAACCACCTAGCATAGTGAAGGTACTGAGAAATAAATGTACCTAATTTAAAAGTTGAGATAAGGGAGAAGTGAAAATGTAACAAAGCTTTTTTTGCCTACTCTTGTCACACTAGTTAACAGAATCAATACTTTAACAGCTATATAATCACGTCTTCCCTCCCTCTATGTTTTGGTTTTAATATCATCACGTTTCATTGTTTCTTCCCTGCCCTGCCTTTATAATGAAAGCTAAGTTAACTTTTAGGTGAGAATCATTCAGTTGTTGCTTTTAATTGACTAAATATATAAATATAAAGATATTTGTTGTTCTAAGTATGTCTTGGTTTTTTGTTTGTTTCTAGTCAGAAACCCTTACACAGGACACAAGTACCTCTGTGGAGCTTTACAGTCCGGCATTGTTTTACTCCAGTGGTATGAGCCGATGCAGAAGTTCATGTTAATCAAGGTATACATACACTTAGTATATCTACATTTTTTTCTCTAGAAAATACTCTTATATGACTCAAGCTAAAATTATAAGGTCCCTTTACTATTACCCATGGAGGGTGAGCATATCTATCATTTATATGTATATTTCTGTTTGATTAGGAAATTTTTGTTTGTTAATTAATTTCCAGAACCATTATAGCCATAAAGGTCAACATGGTTAGTTCTACAAAACTGGCCATGATTAGATAATAAGAAAAGGGAAGCTGTTCTCCTGACTTTATTCAGCAATAGTGTGAATTGGAAGAGAGTAACTGAATTACAGTTCTGTTATTTATTTCTTGCAGCACTTTGATTTTCCTTTGCCAAGTCCTTTGAATGTTTTTGAAATGCTGGTCATCCCAGAACAAGAATATCCCATGGTCTGTGTAGCTATTAGCAAGGGCACTGAAGCAAATCAGGTAGTTCAGTTTGAGACAATCAATTTGAATTCTACATCTTCGTGGTTTACAGAGATTGGCACAGGTGAGTGTTTTTGCCTCATGTTAGGATATTGATGCTTTTACCCAGGGGGAAAAACATAGTACTTAAGTACAGCCCATGTGGGCGCTTTTCAAAACAATTGAGTATATTATTTCCCAAATAAGCCCTGGGAATGATGTATATATGAAATGTTATTTTCTCCTGATTTTATTTCTCCATAAACTTTTTCAAGAACCCTCACATGCTTTATGATGTCAGTTTACCAGAGACATTTTGATACAAATTATTTTACCAAAGAAAATGTCCTGACAGTCAGAGATCTTAGTTGTTACCAATTACTCTATACACCTGATAGATTTTCAAACATACTCTTCAACTTTTGTTGCTTTCTCAAACAACGAAGTTTCCTTTTTCCTTATTTTTTCTTTTTCTTCCTCAACTTCTTAGAAAATTCAGTGTGATTTAAATGGAAGTTTCACTGGTGTGGCCTTTAAGCTTTTCTATTTCAGTGTCTCCTTGCTTTCTAGTAATGATTGGTGGCCTAGGATTTTTGTCACACAGCTCAGTGAAGGCTTTGAAAAGACAGGGAAGTTTATTCTCAGACTTTAAAATTGAGACAAATCAATTACGGTGTGTTGTGGTTTTTTTGTTTTTGTTTGTTTTGGTTTTGGTTTTTTTTTTTTTTGCAACCTGCTAAAATATATGAAGTGACAGGGGCTCCCCACTTTGCCATTTCCAATTGGTGGTGCTAGCACATTGTCATTGTTCATCTCAGGTTTATTAGTCCATTTTAACATACAAAAATCAAAAAAGCTTTAGTTGTGGCTGTTTGACATTCCTTCCTAAGTATTTCTTGATTTTTTTTTATAACATGTAGGCAAAATTATAAGAACTCATTGTACTACCTATCAAAGCTAAAACAGAACCTGCACTAATGTCACTTTTAGAATAAGAATCAGTATGAACTAGAGTGATCCTTATAAATGCTTAACTATAGGGTCTTAAGAAGCAGAAGTTTGTTATGGTTATTTCATTATTTCATTTCATGTTATTTCATTATATTAGGCTACTACTCAAAAGGAGGATTTGAATCAGTTTATTTAAAAACCAAGATGAGGACCTGGCATGATAGCCTAGTGTCTCAAATTCTCACCTTGAATCTGCAAGGATCCTGTATGGGCACCAGTTCGTGTCCCAGATGTACCACTTCCCATTCCAGCTCCCTGTCTATGGCCTGGGAAAGCAACAGAGGACAGCCCAAAGCCTGAGGACCCTGCACCCATGTGGGAGACCAGGAGGAGGCTCCTGGCTCCTGGCTTTGGATCGACTCAGCTCCAGCCATTGCAGCCACTTAGGGAGTGAACCAGAGGATGGAAGATCTTTCTGTATCTCCTCTCTGTATATCTGCCTTTCCAATTAAAAACAAACAAATAAATAAATCCTTAAAAAGAAAAAGATGATGATGAAACTCAGCTATCAGCAGCTGCCTATATTACATTGTACCTAGGCAAGTGTCAGAGTGCTGGAAGAAAAACAGCCAATAGCTGGCTGGCATTCTGGACCTGGTTCATGCCAACTCTGTTAACTGAGAGCTTAGTGTTTACAGAAATCTAGATTAGCAGTCCTAAGGCAGGCTGCTTCCAGCAACTCAGGGTTCCACCACATAGTGCTTGGCCAGCCGCAGACAGGCCAGTGGACTCACACAGAGATCCTAGGAGGACTGCTCCCATAGCATGCCACAGCACTAGGCTAGGGGTCTAGAGCCTTGAGCCAGGGTGGTGATGGGAGGAAGGTGTCCCACTAATCATTTTCAGGAAGCCCAGAGCCGGACAGATCCTAGGCATGGATGCTAGACAGGCTACATCCGTGCTGTGCTACTCTGCCATCTGAGTAGGACGCACCAACAGCATACCACCATGCCAGTCCATTAGCTGAGACCAAGAACCTAATGAGGTTTGTGGGGGTACTGATGGTCTTTGGCGTTCAGTTGTCTGACAGGTCCTAGTTGGGTCACATATATGGCAAGCCACCACACCAGTGTGGGAGTAGCTGGTCCGGGGCCTGACAGGTTGTGGTGGTTGCACCCACAGTGAATGACTCCACTAGGCTGGTGTCCTGAGGCCAAAGTCCTGGGAGGTCCCCCACTGGTGGCCTTTTGCAGACCAAGGGCCCGACAGGTTGTAGGCTGACCAAACACATGCTACCTCACCGATCTGGAAGCAGTAGGAAGACGGGGGCACAGTGGGTTCTAGGCAGTGATACCCTTGGGGGTACTACCACCTCAGGGCGGGAGGCTGAGGCCAGAGTCCTGGATGATAGCCACTAATGGCCTTTGGCCTCATCAGGAAGCCCAAGCTTTCATACCCTGTTCTCAGACATAACAAGATTTCGAATCTCAGGGACTAGAGCAGGAAAGTTGTCCTGGCATCAGAGCATACATTGCATGTTGTGCCATCTCCTAGGCTGAGTCCTGTGTAGGGGAGAGGATCATGCCCAGATATACACAAATAATGAGTCAGTCTGCCCCTGTGAACCACCTGAGGGCCTCAGATGCCACTCCAAAAGACAAAAAGAGACCAACAACTTCTTAGAGTGGCAATGACAGTGGGGAGGATGTAGGCATTGACACTGGCTGGAATTTCTCCAGCTCATGCTAGTCTAGATTTCCGCAAACACCAAGCTCTCATTTAACAGAGCTGGCATGAACCAGGTCCAGAATGCCAGCCAGCTATTGGCTGTTTTTCTTAGATGAGGTCTCTCTCTCTCTCTCTAGAGACTTCTGAACCTGGTACATGCAAGGCTTACTCCCCTGATCAGGAAGTAACTACAGAAGATGAGCTGAATCTACATCCTTTAGCAACTGTTAAAGAATAAGGATCAGAAATCTAAGCAGCGGAGGGAGGCAGGGAGGGAAGTAAATGGGACAGGCAGGTAGCTGGCTTAGAGTCACAAATTGGAATCCACACACCTCCTGCCCTATGTAATACTCTTTGCCTACCTATTAATCACATGAGCCCTTTCCCAGGATGAACCTTCCTGTTCCTGGGACTTGGGGGTGGTTTAGGTAACCAGTCCCCTCTCCAGGCTCATAAGAATCCAGGCAATGGGAAGAGATGCTCTCTTCTTTCAAGTAGACAAGATGAAAGTAGAAACATCTCTGTTCCACCTTTTGCTTCCATGTTCACTCTATCCCTGAATAAGATAAATCCCTGTGTATCTGTGCTTTCCTTAATTTTTAAATAAACCAAAAGCAACAACAGAAACAAGATTAGGCCAGCATTATGACACAGTGGATCAAATTGGGATACAATGCCTGCACTCCATATGGGACTGCCCCTTAGAGTTACATTTGTGATCCAGTTTCCTGTTGATTTGCTTATGAAGTAGCAGCTAATGACCCCTGCCACCCACAGTAGATCCAAATGGATTTCTTAACTCCTGGCTTTGGTCTGGCCTAGTTCCAACTATTGTGGCCACTGGGAGAGTGAACAGGGGGGAAAAAAGACACACATTCTCTCTCTCTGTCTCTCTCTCTCTCTCCCCCCTCCCCTCCACCCCTCCAATACACTTACCTTTAAATATTAGAATAAAAATCAGGATCATGTTTCACCACCTCGATTTAATTTTTGCAGACTAGCATGCTACAGAGCAGATCATTTCATACCCTTATCTCATGTGTATGTAACCACTAGGCTAGACATGCCAGGCTTGGGAGGGTTTTGGTGGGGAGGGGTATGTTTGTTTTTTAATGGCTAAGGTTTTGACTGAGGCACTTTTTTTTTTTTGGATGACGTTTACATAGTTGATTAGGGTAGGAAGGTTTCAAGGGTTAGAGGAGAGTGAGAGCAATATTCCCACATTTTCTTCCTTTCCTTTTCTTTCTTTCTTTCTTTTTCTTTCTTTCTTTCTTTCTCTTTCTCTCTTTCTCGTTCTTTTTCTTTCTCTTTCCTTCCTTCCTTCTTTTCTTTTCTCTCTCTCTCTCTCTCTCTCTGTCTCTCTGTCTCTCTCTGTGTCTCTGTCTCTCCTTCTATATCTGGGGGAAAAGGAGAGATACCTGGAGAAGCTGCACCCAGCCTCCCAACCACCTCAGTACATGGGGATGGGGAAAAGCTACCCAAAGTCATCCCACGGTCCCCAGTGTGGAGCATGCTCTGAGGGTTTGGCTAAAGTGGTTTAGTAGTTCACTAGCCCTGAAATGCTGTTTACCTCACCGTTCCAAGGATGAGGAAATTCTTTCAAGGTCCATTGGTCACATAATCCACGTAAGAGTCTCCATTCACCTAAATATTTGCTACCAACACTTGGCTGGGGTAGTTGACCAACTTGTTCTGCCCTCTTTCCTCTGTTATGGTACCAGATGTCCTCTGCAGGCTCCATTGGCCTGCCAATTTCTCTGTGCATCTTGGTATGCCATCCACTAGTGACTGAGCCACTGTTAACATTGTTCAAGCGAAAATGGAAGTCAACCCCATTTTGATCCCCAGGGAGGGCCAACATCAGGATTTCTGCCTGAGTGACCATCAACCTGCTGTCAAGCAGAGGCAAGGAAGCCTTTAAGCTCCAGTCCCCGTGCTCAGTAGGCAACTCCATTTTCTGTTGATCCAACTTCCAGCTGTGTTCCTTGTTCAGCCAAGGGGTTATACCTGTGAGTGACAGCAGCTGTTATGTTAAAGTGAGCTCCTGTTCTGAAACCCCCATAGCTCAGCAGTGTCCTTATCGCCAAGGCTGAGCTGCTTAGCGTATGGTTCTATTTGCTGAATGAATCTGAATTAACTAAAACATGACTCCACTAGGCTAGCGCTTGGTCTAGGAGGCCATTTATTCAGTCTGTAGGTAACTGTTATTCACTAATTGTCAAGTTTGGAACATGCACAGAATTCTGTCCTGCAGTTACTACTCTGCATCACCTAAAATCTTTTCTTAGGTTCAACTGGATCACTGGGAAAATCGGGGTGCTTGTAAGAAGCTGTTTTACCAAAAATACTAAGCAAGTTGGGCCCAGCATGATAGCCTAGTGGCTAAAGTCCTCACCTTGCACACACTGCGATCCCATATGGGCACTGGTTCTAATCCTGGTAGCCCTGCTTCCCATCCAGCTCCCTGCCTGTAGCCTGGGAAAGCAGTCAAGGACGGCCCAAAGCCTTGGGACCCTGCACCCGTGTGGGAAACCTAGAGGAGGCTCCTGGATCCTGGCTTCAGATGGGCTCAGCTCCAGCTGTTGCGGTTACTTGGGGAGTGAATTAACAGATGGAAGATCTTCCTCTCTCTCTCCTTTTCTCTGTACATCTTACTTTCCAATAAAATAAAAAGAAAAGAAAATAAATCTTTAAAATAATATTAAGTGGCAAGAGTTGCATCATGCAAAGAAGTTATTGACAATATTGATCATTACTAACTCATAATTATAGGCCTCCCACAACAACACTAGGAAAATTACTCTAATAATTTTATTTATTTTTGTGCTGCTTTGAGTTCTTGCGTTTTAATATTTCTGTCATGCTATGATTCACCTAAGTGATATTATTTTTATCTCCCATTGGCTTTGCAAAATGCAGAGCAAAATCCAGCAGTAGTGTTTAGAATGATCTAGTTTTCCTCCCTGTATTTATCCTTTGCTTTATCTTACTCTTGTAAAAACAATTCCTTTCTAGAACTAACTAGATGTGTTAATTAAATGTAGTCCTTTTTTTTTTTCAGCTCCATTAGCCACATTAGACTTTATATTACATTTTTTAAAGACAAAGAATAATTTGTGCTGTATTTCAAATTTTAAGTCACAGCAAAAGCCAGAATTTGCATTTATTTTCTGGGTTCTGGTTTTTGTTAAATGTACTGTATTTCTTTAAAAGTGTATTGTAGTATAACTGTAACACTGTTTTCTCCCTCAGGCAGCCAGCAATTAGATTCCATCCATGTAACACAGTTGGAGAGAGATACTGTTCTAGTGTGTTTGGACAGTGAGTACAATTTTAAAGTTTATTTTCAGTCTACTTCTTGATAAAGCAGTTCTTGCAATGGCATTGAACCGTTACACCATATCTCAAGATTTTCATTTTACCTTGAATGACCTGCTTAAGCAGGAGAAAAACCAAATTGACCACAAATACTAATTTACCTTTCCATTAGTACTATCCTATGTCACTTTCTTCTTTGTATTGACCTTCTTGAAGACATTATCTATGAACTGTGTGCCAGAAACTTGCGGGAAAATGCTTTGTAGACTCACAGTTCATTATAATGAGTGAAAATGAAAGGCTTTACTGACTTACATAACAAAATCATTCAGAACCATGTCAGAGTGCATTTCTAAAGTACTTATGGGTCTGACACCTGCAGTTAACAATAGTGATTCTTTAGGTGCAGGGAAGAGATGTATATTAACAGGAACTTTTAAATTAGCCAAATAATCAGATAACCAGGGTTTATTTTATAATACTGAGCCATTAGCAGTAAGCACCTACGTACCTCCTGAACTGTCAAAGGAGGTAAATCATGCTTTGTTTTCATTTGGTGACATTTTAGCACAGTTCTTAAACCATTCATTTATTTGGTCCTCCATTTCCCAATTAATCAAAATAAATAGAAAAACCACTTTGCTGAGGTTTCTGGTTTTTTTTTTTTTAATAAGAGATCAGAGGAAAGCTGCAAAAGCTGATTGTCAGCTCTCCGATGTGTCATTCAGTGTTAGTGAGCAGCAGTGGAGCTGGGTGGGCCATCTCCAAGGGGGTAGACAGAAGAGAGCTCCACACACAGAAAAGCTGTCTTCAGATGCAGACACGCGAGGGGGAGCTTACAAACAAATGGGCAAAAGGAGAATGCAATTATTCATCTGTTTTCTGTCCGAGTTTACTGTACTTGAGCTACTGTTTCTCGCTCCATGTACCTTTGTAGAATATAATTCATATACTCACTATATAATAGTTATGAATTATTACAAGTATTTCTTACATTGTTGTCATTTTAAGGGAAAAAATAGACTCATGGTGTTAAATATTTGACACCAAGGCAGCCACTCTCGAAGAAGAAAATGAGATTTTAAAAAATGAAACTATAGATGTTCCGTATATAGAAAAGAACAATAGCAGAATTGCCATCTATCAAAGGAGGCAGTTTTATGGCTAATTTTTGAAACTTCAGTAATGATGCTTCACTGGGCACACTTGAATGATGGATAAAATCTATCAAGTATTTATTTGACAATTATGTAAAATTCATCTATCAGTTTACATTTATTTTAGCAGATTTGCCTTTCCAGTCTTGATTTGCTTTTTATTCTTTTTAAGAATTTGTAAAAATTGTAAACCTACAAGGAAGATTAAAATCAAGTAAGAAATTGGCCTCTGAGCTAAGTTTTGATTTTCGCATTGAATCTGTAGGTAAGTCTCCTTTCTTTACTGAATGAGTTTGGAGTATTTGCCTTTGCTGTTTATTCAAGGCTTTGGGTTGTCTAGACCAGCAGTGGCTCTGAGAAGTTTTCTGTGCTGACAGAGATGTTCCCTGTCCGTGCTCTTAAATAACAGCAATTAGGAAATTCCTGCAGCTGGTAAGCACCTAGCAGGGCTGGTGCTACATTTGCAGTGTTAAAGTTTCACTTATATTTTAATTGATAACCATATGCAGCTAGTTGCTACCATATTTTGCATATTTTACAGTATACATAAAATCGTATTGATTCATGAATATTTAAAATTGGAAATCATAGTTTGAATTTCTGTTCATTATTCCCCTTCCTGCTCTTTCCAGTGAGGCGTATTTCTCTTTTTGTTTACACATCAGGAACGTGTTTCTATGATGTGATAATGGTGTTGGATTACTGTTAATTTTTGTATATAAAATCCTGGTTTGTATATGTTGATGTTTACTGCCACCTTTTCCTATATGAAAAGCAAGTTACCCACTTTTAATTTGATTCTTATTAATGAATGTTTTACTCTGTAATAGTCATTGGGTTTAGCAATAGAAAGTTAATAATTTATCAATGTTTGTATCCTCATTGATGATATGTTAATAATTACTTTTCCAAGTAGAACTAGAACTTGTATTTTAAAAAAAAAACATAGCTAGACACAATCTGAGCAGCTGAGAATATCATTCTGGCATAAATCAAAGAAATGAGTTAATAAAAATTTGGTATTTTTTACTTGGACCATACAAAACATACATATTTTATAATTAAATGCATTTAAACACATGCTTTTTCCTCTTAGCAAGGTTTCTGTTTTTTTTTTCTTTGTGAGTTTCTCAACTAGAATACTGATTTGTTACAAAAAATGTCTATATCCCTGTGAGACCCTTGAGATAAAGATATTTTAGTTTTGGTTAAGAAATTGATTTACTAGAGTGGAAACCCAAACCTCTGTGTAGTAGTTAGGACAACAGGAAATTTTGAAACTAGTTTCTTCTTTTACTCCATCATCCACAGATACTACTTGTTGGTTTCTAGCATGTCATATTTGCTAGAGATTCTGATACATAGATCGTTAGTTCCTCTTCATTTTTACCAAAACATACAAGTTTTCCATATATGCAGAATTATTTAGAAAATTTTAATCGTTATACCAAAATTTGTTTTCCTTAAGCTAACATCATTTGTTGCCAGTAAACCATGGAGTAATTACAAGGATACTGCTGGATAAGAGTCACGTCTAATCTTTTCCTTTTAAAAATAAAACCAGTAGCCAGGTATTTTAATTAAACTGAATTTTGTTTCCAAAACATTCTTACATAAACGTTTTAAATAGAGCCAATATTCTAAACAAAAATGTTAAGTAATTTGCAGTCCCTTTCTCCAATACCTTTTAAATTTCTTATAAATTATTATTTGTTTATTTGGGATGCAAGGAGACCAAGTAAGAACACACGCATTCCTGTCCACTGATATACTCCCCAAATGCCTGCAGTTGTCAGGGCTGGGCTGGAGCCAGGAACACAGGCCAGGTCTCCCACTTGGGTGACAGGAACCCAGTTTCTGGAGCTAACTGCCAGGACCTGTGCTGACAAGAAGCTAGTCAGAATCCAGAGCTAGGAATACAATGTAAGCACGCGAATGCAGGATGCTTGCTAAATACCTGCTCTCATCATCACCTTTAGCTTTGTTTTTCTTTTTAATTATTTCTAACACATATCTAGTAGGTGACTAAATGCCAAAACTTTTGTGTAAGACTTGATTCACAGAGCATAAATATTCCATGTATGGTTAAATTTTCATTTGTGGGGAAGGTATCTTTTAAATTAATTTTATAATATGGAAAATGTGAACATAAAATGCTTGTTTAATATTTACTTCTGAATACATAACAGTATTAATGTTTTTATCCAAAAACGCTACTATACAGCTTGTGAAAGTGCAATCCATATGTGGATATGGCTCACATTTAAATGAATGCCTTTTATATGTACATTTGGAAACTTGTATAACCATGCCTCAAGAAATACTTCGGCTCAGACATGTCTTAGCCACAAAAATGTTGAGAAATAATGGTCCAGAATAGCCTTATGTTACCATTTATTAAAACCAGTTAAGGGAGATTTATAGTGAAGTGCTCTGTGCTTTTAATTTCAGTTCTCCCTTATCTTTTTCAGTGTGCCTTCAGGACAGTGTATTGGCTTTCTGGAAACATGGAATGCAGGGCAAAAGCTTCAAGTCAGATGAGGTAAGGCTCTCAGATTATCTCCACTGAATCCCTCTGCGTATTGTAATGTTGAAATATTTGTTTTAGGCATTTCCTCTGTGAACCCATATTACTGTCATTAGTGCCTGTGAGCCAGAAGGGCTGAAAAGCCAATGTTTCCCCTGTATGTGGGCTCACTTTAATATTTTTTAAGTCTCAGTGGCCACAAGGAATCGCAAAATATATTTTCACAATTTCATTGCTTTTATTTACAAGTAATAAAATTGTTAAGTTTATTTTACTTGTCTAAATTGATTGTTTTGTATAATCTGGAAATAGGTAACTTCTTTTTTAGTATTGTAGTTAAAATTGTAAAAATTAGTAAGGACTAAGGGAAAATCTAAGAGTATTAATTTGTTTCAAGACATAATTATAAACAGTATCAAGCCTTTATATAATACCTTGCCAGATACTTTACAATTGTTAGGTCACTTAAGACTCATAGTAATCCAGCAGAGGTAGGTGTTAGTCATATTCTCATTTTTACAGATAGAGAATAGTTTAGTAATTGACCCAGGGTTACATAGCTAGTTAAGTAGCAAAGCCCTTCATATTTATACTGAGGTGATCAAGACATTACATGCAGAAGATGGGATTTGGGATTCCTCCACGAGGGATAAATCCTAATCTAACAAAGACATTGCATATTTGAATACCTGGATTAACATATCTGGTTACTGACTCATATTACTAAGTATCTCCAGGCACCTTTATTCGATGAAACATGCAGTAGTACTCACTAGCATACAGTTACTTGCTCTTATGTGCTATTTTCACTGTCATTCCTATGAGTAGAAATCATAACTTAAAAAAAAAAGTATTAAGGGGCCATTGCTGTAGCATAGCAAACCACCACTATAGCAGGTAAAGCCAGTGCCCACGGTGCCAACATCACAAATGGGCTCTGGTTTGTGTCCTGCTGCTCTACTTTACATCTAGTTCCCAGCTTGTGGCCTGGGCAGGCAGCAGAAGATAGCCCAAGTGCTTGGGCCCCTGCGGCCATGTGGGAGACCCAGAGGAAGCCCCTGACTCCTGGCTTCAGGCCAGCACAGCTCTGGCCATTGCAGCCATTTGGGGAGTGAAGCAGAGAATGGAAGATCTTTCTCTCTCATTGCCTTCCAAGTAAAATAAATAAAGCTTTAAAAATATTAAGCTGGAGAGGCAAAGTGAATGTTTGGCACAGCAGTTAAGCTACTGCTTAGACACACACGTTCAGTATTGAGTACCTGAACTCCCAATTGCAGCTTCCTGCTAATGTGTACCCAATGAATCAACAGATGTTTGGGAAACTTGAGTGAAGATTACGGCTTTAACCTGGTCTATCTCCAGCTACTGCTAACAGCAGATGGAAGTGCTCTATAAATAAATGCATAAATCTACATAAGATGCCCTTTTTCACCATAAATTCTTTTTCCTGTTTCTAACTCATCTTTCTTAACTCTGTTTCTGCCTGTATATTGTTCATCCTTCAAGTTGGCCCAGCTGATGTTTCTTCCTCTTTCATAAAATAATCAGATATGCCAGTCCATGTCTCCGAAGTTAACACTCTGAAAATCAGCTCATGATGTCACATGTGATTTTTGGGGGTGGAGAGGCTTCTTTTAAATTTTTAAATTTATATTACTCACCATGATGTGGTTTCATGGGTTACAGGAATTCCTCCCCTGACTTCCTTTCTCCCTTCCTGTTTCCCCACCACTGTTTTCTCTCACATAATAATGTAGTTCTTGGGCAGTGGTCACAAGTCAACATTCTGCTATTTAAGTGTATCACTGCAAGTAAGTATGTGCAATGAAGACAGGCTAATATCCTACTGTCAGGGTGTCCTACTGTCCTGGTTTCATTGGAGCCTCCTTTTATTCAGGAGTAGATATGCATGCTGTAATGCATCTTCACTTCCTGGTTTGCTAGTCTCCATGATACAGTTCTTCTGTGAGAATATGTGTACGTGCATGTTTACCTATAGTACTATCTTATATTCTGCATGAAGATTGCCTTACGTCTGAAGAACATATTATACTTTTCCTTTTGGGATTGGCTTATTTCACTCTGCACAGTGTTCTCATTTGGGACCATTTTTTTGCAAACGGTAAAATTTCATTATTTTCTTTTTATTTATTTATTTATTTATTTATTTATTTATTTATTTATTTATTTATTCATTGGAAAGTCAGATATACAGAGAGGAGGAGAGACAGAGAGGAAGATCTTCCGTCCAATGGTTCACTCCCCAAGTGAGTGCAACGGCCGGTGCTATGCCAATCTGAAGCCAGGATCCAGGAACTTCTTCCAGGTCTCCCACAGGTGCAGGGTCCCAAAGCTTTGGGCCGTCCTCGACTGCTTTCCCAGGCCACAAGCAGGGAGCTGGATGGGAAGTGGAGGTGCCAGGATTAGAACCGGTGCCCATATGGGATCCCGGTGCGTTCAAGGCGAGGACTTTAGCCACTAGGCCACGCTGTCGGACCCGAATTTCATTATTTTCTGATGTAGGTTTATTAAGTGTCTCTGCCTGGGCAAACTGTTAATTCATTTTTAGCAGACTACTTTTATGTTTCTTTTTTTATCCATAATTTGTTGGTTTGGGTTTTTGCAAAAGCTGACCCTGGGATAGAGATTCAAATGCTGTTATTTTACTTGGGAGTGAATTCTATTTTTTTTTTTTTGTTAGTTTTTTTTTTTTTTATTGGAAAGGCGGATATACAGAGAGGAGAGACAGAGAGGAAGATCTTCCGTCCGATGATTCACTCCCCAAGTGAGCACAACGGTCGATGCTATGCCGATCCGAAGTCAGGAGCCTCTTCCGGGTCTCCCACGCGGGTGCAGGGTCCCAAAGCCTTGGGCTGTCCTCGAGTGCTTTCCCAGGCCACAGGCAGGGAGCTGGAAGGGAAGCGGGGCTGCCGGGATAGAACCGGCACCCATATGGGATCCCGGGGCATGCAAGGCGAGGACCTTAACCACTATGCCACCGCACCGGGCCCAGGGGAGTGAATTCTAAAAAACAAGTGATTGGATTAAAGATATAAAATGGAATAGAACCAAAAATTAACAAGCTGGTTCTCACTATGGACAAGTGAGGCTCAATCCAGGAGGGACCACTAAGGAATGTTGATGAATGCACTACAGAAGTGAGATGGGAAAGCTGAATCATTCATGCACAAGCTGTTTTCCATGTTGGTTAAGGATTGACCTCAAGGGTGCAGATTCCCCATGCTTCCAGATAGTTCTTTAGTACTTAGCCTAGCACCTTTGCAGCTTGAAGGAATCAACAGAGGAACAGCACAGTATATACCAAGGTGAGGCCTTGCTGTTTGGGAGTGCCCATCACAGTCACATTGAAGTCAGATAAGCCATGGGTCCACCTCAAGCACCTGAACCAGGAGTTAAAGCAAAGAGCAGGACTTCGCAGCCCAGCAGATCTGGGGAGGGCTGGCCCTTGAACAAATTACTTGGCTTCTGGGAGCTTCACTTTGTTCAGTCAGATGAGGATTCTAATTCCTGTCACAGAGGGGAAAGTACCTAACCCATACTAGGAATTTCACAAACATTGGTTCATTTCTAATAGGTACTTCCAGTGAAACATAATTGATATTTCAGTTGAGGAATGTGTCTGCCAAAAATTATTTATTCTATTTAATACATCTAAATTGTCTTTAAGTTATTTCATAAGCAGCATGGGAACTAAGCTGTTACTGACAAGTATTTTCTTTCACAGGTTACCCAGGAGATTTCCGATGAAACAAGAGTTTTCCGCTTACTTGGATCTGACAGGTAATGTGGCATTAATCACAAGAATGCAGAGACCGTGCTCTTAACCTTAACTCTATCAGCAGCATGTAATTATGTCTCAGTCAAAACTCGTACAGGATTCACTGACTAAAGAAAGTCTTCTTTATCATTAGAGAGAGTGTACATGTTAGGTCAAGCAGTCAGCGTAAGAATCCTATTCAACCAGTACGAAATGTGTTAATATAGGTATTTCTTTAGCAGCCATGGCTGAAATAACTTACACACCCTTGACGAAGGGAAAGGAGCCAATGGAGATAGGATTCCTGAACAAATTTGAAGAGTTTTAAAAGGAGAAAAGTATTTTCTGGAAAATGATAATGGCTATAGTGAATAGAAAGATAAGTAAATGAATTTTGGAAAATTTGAAAGTAGTATGGGTGGCAGAGGGGTGGAAGGGAGGGAGGAAGGAAAGGAGGATGGAGTGATTTGAGGGCAGCAGTATCCCTGACTGTAGAATGGCAAACCCTTAGCATCTGCACAAAGGCCTGGTGATTGTGGTGCAGGGGGCTCTGTAATGCGGCGTAGTGAGAGCAGCCTGCAGAGCTCACAGATTGTATCAAAACCATTTCTGTCACTGACTTGTGCCTCCCCAGAGATCTCTCCTCCTTCGGTTCCTCCTTTGTCTGTTGTCTCACTGCTCTGCTCTATGAAACCACTTTTCGTATACCATCACCTTGGTGTGGTTAGTTTCTTTCTTGAGCATCTCACTACTTTTAAGTTATATATCTTAGCCAGAGTGCTTGTATCAGTTTTGAAAGTGGCAGAAATGTTGCTTTGTTGTTTAAATACAGATATTTGTATCTATAAAGAAAAATGTAACTATCTCAACAGTGAGTACATTTGGGCAGTTGAATTTAAGTTACTCTGTTTTTACTTCTAGTCATCTGTAATATACCTGTATGATATAAAGTACATATTACTAGTTTTTTGTTTTCATTAAGCAAGTTATAACATGTTGCATAAAAGTCATGCACTAGAAAAATATGAGCCGTCATTTGGCACACTGAATTAAGCCACCACTTACAACACCAATCAATACCATATCAGAGTGCCAGTTTGTGTCCATTTCACTTCCAATCCAGCTCCTTGCTAATGTGCTTGGGAAGGCAGTAGATAATGACCCAAACGCCTGGGCTTCTGTGACCCATGTGGGAGACCTGGGTGGAGTTTCTGGCTCCTGGTTTTGGCCTGCCCAGACCTAGCTGTTGTGGCCATTCGGGAAGTGAACCAGTAGATGAAAGAGCTCTATCTCCCCACTTCCAGTCTCCCCATCTCTTTGCCTTTCAAATAAACAAATAAGCTTTGTAAAAAGAAAAGTATGAAGTATGTGTACCATTTCTCTTCCCATCCCGCCCTAGAATTTTTTTCTCTGTATGGATGTATATTTGTTTTATTCTCAAACCCCCACAAATAAAATGTCATAGTTTGGTAGTTGATTTTCTGTCTTCCTAGCAATCGTTTGGCTGTTTCCCTGACTTTGTTCCTAGAATAAGGGGGAGAGGTCCCAATTCATATCTTTTGTAAAAACAGAATTAGAATCAAATACTTTGAAGAACACTTTGGATGATTGTCTCTTTTTTTTTTTTTTTTTTTTAAATAAATTTTATTTTGACATTCTTTACATAGTTAATTAGGGTAAGAAGGTTCAAGGGCTACAGGAAAGTGGATAATACTAATATGTTTTCCATATTGTTACCTTCATGTTTAAAAGGGGGGTATTAAGGGAGAAGGCCCACCCAATTTCCCACCCTCCCCAAGTCCCGGGTGTAGGGCATGCTCTGAGGTTCTTGCTCAAGTGGTTTTGATATTGCAACAGTTATGAATCGCTGTCAATCTTGCCGCTCCAAGCACTATGAGGTCTTTGAAAAATCCACTGATTGACATAGTCCATCATAGCTTAGATGGTTGGTTGACCTGTTCTGTCTTCTCTCTTTTCTTCGTTAGGGTTCTGAGTCCAGCATTTAGATTAGGAAGATCTCCAAAGAAAGTTCTTGTATGTGCTAACAAGTACAGGGCCTGGCACCGTCCATCGCTCCAATCAGCTGGTGGTTGCAAATGCTGGGTTGGTTCTGTTTTCACTCCCGACTTCCACTGGAACCAATGGGTGTTGCAGTCCAGTCTGGTTCTGCCCAGCACATACTTGGCCCTCACATAAACCAGCGGGAGCTGTAGCCTAGGTTGGAGCGACCCACAATAACCCCAACCAGGCCCACCCCCTACCCTGGTTTGCCAGTAAGTGTAGCAGTAATCCAGTCTGTCCCACATCCCATTCCACCCCAGCCGCTGTCTTAGTTTTATGTCCTCCCGTGGAAGTGGTAACCCAAGAGGGATGAGCCCACTATTTCCCTCCCAGGCCTCTCCCACTCCCAGATTCCACTTGATGCTGCCCAAACAAACCTCGCCCACTTTAATTTTGTTTGCACCAGTAGGAATAATCCGCCCAGCCTGGCTTTTCCCTGATCTAGTCCACATGAGGCGCACAGGTGTGGTAGCTCTGCCTAGTCTGGTCTGCCCCCATCCCAGCCCATGCTCTCCTGCGGAAGTAGCTGTCCAGCAAAGGAACCCTCCCTTATTCCCCTGCCAGCTCTGCCCACTTCCTTTCTTGTTCTCAGGCTGGTTGGGCGCTGCGGTCCCTTCTGGTACAGGCAACCTCACCTCAGCATTCCATAATGTGCACTAGTCTTTGTTGCGACCGACCCTGGGTCGACCCACACTGGTGCCTGGATTTGCCAGTGGATGATGTGGACAGATTCAGCCTGGTCTTGCCCCCACGTCTGCCAACTGTATGCCAGTGGGTAGGTTTCCATGGCCTTTTCTGGGCTGTTTCCTATCATGTTTCTTGCGTTTACCTGCTGGGTCTGTGTCCTGCCAGAGGAGTTGCCCAGGCTCCTCCATCAGAACCTCTCCCAATGCCAGGTTTCACGCTTACCAGTGGGTCCATGAGCCAACCCTACTCAGTCCACCTCCTGTCATAGCAGGAACTGTGGCTTTTCCTGACTGGCCTTCAACCCAATCTGGTTCTTGCTGTTGGATGTTCCAGCCCAGCCATGGTTTGTCCATACCCACGTATGGCTCACACATGGCTCAGTAGGGGTTTGAGACCCTGCCTAGTCCATCCCACATCTGCCCTGGTCCTCCAGAACACCAGGGGGAGTCGGGGTCCGGCCCAGTTCGGTGCATCCAATCCCAGTCCACACTTGTGCCAAGGGAGACTACAACTGTTTCCAGATCAGAACGCAGCCCCCTTCCAGGCCACGTGCCTCTTGGTGGGAACCTCAGCCCAGCTAGGGTTGTCCCCTTTGCTCCCCAACCGGGTCCGTTCCCAGGCATAGATCACATGCCTGCCAATGGATGCTCTGACTCAGCTTGGCACAGCCCCTCCCCTGTCCCGAACTCTGCCTTAGACACTGTGGCTTAGCGTCCCAGGCTCCCACAGACCAGCAGGTACAAGAGCCTAGCTCGGCATGACCTTTGCTCCCTCCTGGTTTCTAGTTTTACTTGTGGGCTAAGGTTTGCTCAGTCGTGCCTAATCTACTCTGTTCCATTACCAGTTGACACATTGGCCAACTGTTGGAGCTACTTGTGCAGGGCAAGCCCCAAGCCATAGCTTCTGCATGACTGGTATTTGGTGCTCAGCATTATTAGTGATTACAAGTTTTGCTAAGAAAGAGTTACTGCCTGTTTCAGGTCCAAGAAGCACAATGGGTTCAACCTGGAGCTAATTAAGCAGCAATTCAAAGAACCAAATCCCCAGAGCTCCCCAGCCGGGCGGCCAGCAGGCGGAGCCTGGCACCAATGGCCCCATGAAGGCGGCGGGTGGGCCCCGGACCTGCCCAGTCCCGGAGGCCTCCCCCCCTCGGTCTACTCACCCCGAAGGAAGCGGCCCCCAAAACCCAGCAGGCCCGGGGAGGACGGCTCACCATGTGCCCATGGCGGCCGTCCGGGATCCAGGCATGAGACGCCCCGTCCTGAGACCCACCAGCTGCCAGGAAGGTGCTGGAGGTTTAAATAACCCAGGCCCAAGGTCGCGCCCCTCCCAAATCCCATTCACCGCCCCATGAAGGTGGCGGGTGGGCCCCGGACCTGCCCAGTCCCGGAGGCCTCCCCCCCTCGGTCTACTCACCCCGAAGGAAGTGGCCCCCGAAACCCAGCAGGCCCGGGGAGGACGGCTCACCATGTGCCCATGGCGGCCGTCCGGGATCCAGGCATGAGACGCCCCGTCCTGAGACCCACCTGGATGATTGTCTCTTAAGAGTCCTGTTATACCTTCTTCCACCCTCTTCCTCTTAGTGTAAATGCCTGAAGCAGAATTACATCTTTGGTTAGCATAACAAATAAAATAGAAAATTTATTTTTAGTTGAAATAAGATACTATCCCATGTTTCCAAATTTAATATTCATCAATTATTATTCATTTGCATTTTAAGCTATAAAATGTAAGGATGAATCTGATTATGAATATGAGATCTTTATTATGATAATGTGAACAGTGTTATTTTTTTCTGTTTTGGTGTTAGTATATGAAGCCTGAAATTTTTATGTTTAAGCAAACATTTTGTTTGGGTTTCGTTACAGGGTTGTCGTTTTGGAAAGCAGGCCAACAGAAAATCCTACTGCACACAGCAACCTCTACATCTTAGCTGGACATGAAAATAGTTACTAAGCAATAGGAATGAATCTCACATAACAAGAAAGGAATATAATCCGTTGAAAGCAAAGACATTTCGAGGAAATTCAGTGCAAACTTCGGTCTGATTTGCTTTAACTATTATGGGTTATATTTCAGGTTATCTGTATTTTAGGGTAGAATTCAGTATTTTCTGTAGCTGGAAACAGCTAGTCTTATCTCTTGCCACTGTGTGGTGGTTTTATCAAGTTTGCTTAATAAAAGCGATGAGACAAACAGTCCTCAAGTTCCAGGAAACACAGTCTTTTTTAAAAAAATAATGTTTGTAACAAGGGTGCCATGGTATTTTTAAGTAACTCAAGTGATTATCTTCAGAGGGATACATTTAATGACATTTTATCATTTTCTACCACGTCTTTCTTACTCCTTCTTAATGATCATAATTTTATAAAGAAATTACCAAACAAGCCTTTCACTTCTGCATTGGCCATTCTGTATGTTTTTGTAAAATAGAATATTTAATCCTTATTTATTAATCTCTTGCTGGAGTGGTGTAATGTATCTAACTTTTAGCAAAAGAAGGTTGCAGAGCAGCTTAGGTTTTTTTTTTATGATATGTAAAATTTGGTTTACTTTTTAAAGGTAATACTTCAAGGACTTAAGATGTGTTTGAGGGTTCAACACATACACGCATTTCCATTTAACAAAAAAATTTTGTAATACAATTTCATGCAGAATTGTCTTAAAAGGAAGGTTTTTTTTTTATTATTATTCAACTACAAATAGTTGAATGGCATCAGATAGAAAAGATAGTGATGATGATTGTAATATCCTTGGGAGAGATGTATATGTCTAGGTGTGACTACCACATATATGGGTTCTTGACAAGCAGTATAATATACCTGTGATGTTTTTCTTTTACATTAGGGATAATGCATGTGAAATTAATCACCATATATATTATCATCCCTAATGAGAGGGGGGCAGTATTTAACTATGATATGTATTTTACTTATACTATGCCAAAGGGAAAACATAAAGCCAGTACACTTGTAATCTGGGGTTTTCACATATTTAGGTTTTTGTTTTGAGTAGGTTTAAGGGGAAAAATGTTTGAATAAAATTGAATTACTGATGGGATAGTATAAATAAGTATTATAAAAGCCAGTATTCTAAAAATAAGGAAGAATGCAGCCATTTTTGAGTATATTTCTTTTGTTGTTTCTGTTCAAAATTTAAATGTCTGTACCTGTTAATTGAATGCATTTGTTGAGAAAAGCACTGGGATGGACCGGGGTTAGCAAGATCAAATTATAAGATTTTTCTGACCAGTTGAGAGGAAAATAAGCATAACTATCTCATTCAATCTCAAGCAGTTTTGTCAAGTATTATCATCTCCATCTTTCAGCTGAAGGAATGAGGGTTTAGCAAGTTGAGAGACTTACCCACTTCACACAGCAAGTCAGTGGTTGAGCCAGACTAGGAGTCTTATGACTCTGTTATTTTCACTATGCAATATGCAAACAATAAAATATTATACCAACAAAATATGAAGTGTTCTTTAATAATTTGCACTTGATATGATAATTTGGCTGTTATTTGGGATATGTTAAATAGATTCTCTAACGGAAGGAGCAAATAGCAGGGTACCATTCTCAAAACAGTACATTTTCATGGCGGATACAAAAACTAGCATCCTCCTTTTCTCTCTGAATCCTAACAGAGATCCCAGTACAAAATTGGTCTTCCCTGTGAAACTGGCCAATGCCAGTGAAAAGACCTAAACAAGATCTTGACACCAGTGGCACCCTGGCTGCCCAGGTACATAGTGCCACAGTGGAAATTTTAGTTGGCATGCCCATGACCCCACACTTTCAGAGTTCCAAGTCTTTCAGATGTGTGCTGTTACACATATAAGCCAGCACACAAGAGTTACACCAAGTTGAAAGGAAGTGCCTACTTGAAGAAAATATAGGAAAAAAGGAGAATGTCGCAAGAAAATTTTTTCAGAAAGATACTATAACCATGCACTTAGAGGAGAAAAACTTATTAACAGCTTTCCAAAAACAACTCTTGGGAAAAGATAAGAATTCAACATGGTTTAGAAGGTTAAGTTGAAGTTTCTAAGAAAATCAATACACTAAATTGATATGGCATAAAATAAAACATTGAGGAAAATAAAGCTAACTGTCCAGGAGATCTAATATCTAATCCCCAGATTTGCAAAAAAAAAATTGGGGTCAACCCTGTGGCTTATTGGGTGAAGATGTGGGCATCCCATAAGGGTGCGCCTGCGGGTACCAGCTGCTCCACTTCCAATACGGCTCCCTGCTCTTGACCTGGAAAAGCTGCAGAAAAATAGGCCAAATGTTGGCACCTCTGCAGCCAAATGAAAGAGCTAAAGGAAGTTCCTGGTTTCAGCCTGCATCAACTGTGGCCATTGCAACCAGCTGAGGATAGAAGAGCTCTCTTTGCCTCTTTCCTTGAGCTCTGAATTTCAAATATATATATAGATAAAAGGAGGGGGGCAAAATTGTCATGTATTTCTGGATGTATTTTCCAGTAACGAGAACATCAAATTCTAGATTGAAAGATCACAGTGAAACAGACCTACCAAAACAATATACTGGAATCAAGGAGAACTTCTTCCAGAGAAAAGGGCAAGTTAGATATTACAGAGTAAGAATTGCTTTAAATTTCAGCAGAAGCAGTGCCTTCAGATTTCTCAAAAAATTTTTCCAACCTAAAATTTACTTCCTGGGTCTGTTGTCTCACAAAGGTGTTAGAAGATGTGCTTCATAAAAGAGCATAAACCAAGCAAAAGAAAAGACATCTAATGTAGAAAAATGAGAGTTGAAAGAAGCCCCCAACAATGGTCTCTGTTTCCAGGAATGAACACTGTGTCAGGCATGCAGAGGATACAGAGTTCTTCAAAAGAAAAATTTTGGAGATACTTTTTCCACAAGATTAATAAAATCTCTACTGCATCTGAGTAACTTAAGATTAAATATACAGCAGTGTGAGAGGTTCCTCATAAGAAAAATCCTGAGAAAAGAACAGAGGTAAAATAGTTCCTTAGTGCAAAAATAAGAGTGAAGGAAATGTGATCAAGAAGAAAGCAAGCCTTACAAAGGTCATTGCTATGAAAAATGGGAGCTTGATTCCACCTAAAAATAACAGAAAATCACATGATTTCCACTTACCTTATGCTTTACCCAGAAATAGAAACTGGATTGTAAACCATCTCAAATGTAAAACTATAACAGTTTTAAAAGGAAATGGTGGATATTAGTCCTGGTGGTAAGACACAGATTGGAATGCCTGTGTACCATATTGAAAATGCCTGGCCTTGAGTCCCAGATCCACTCCAAATTCCAGCTTCCTGTTAAAATGCCAACCTTGGAAAGCAGCAGGTGGTAACTTTAACTGGGGCCAGCCCTGTGGCTTAGTGGGTGAAGTTGTGGACATTCCATAAGGGTGCCCCTGTCACCCACATGGGAGACTTGGATTGAGTTTCAGGATCCTGGCTTTGAGCTGCTCAAAGCATGAATGACTATTGCAAGCATATAGGGAATGAACCAGAAGATAGGCACTCACTCGCTCTCAAATAAATTAATCTTTACAAAAAAATTGATAGAGACATCATATTCTTATGAACTTGAAATACAGAAAGAATTCTTAAAGAGAATACTGACTATAAAAGGAAAAAGGTGATAATATGGACTTCATTAAAAATATTATCCTCTGCTCATCTAAGCTATCTTTATAAGAATAAAAATGCATGCAGAGTCCGGCACAGTGGCCTAGGTGCTAAAGTCCTCACCTTGAATGCACTGGGATCCCATATGGGTGCCAGTTCTAATCCCAGCAGCACTGCGTCCCATCCAGCTCCCTGCTTGTGGCCTGGGAAAGCAGTCGATGATGGCCCAAAGCCTTGGGACCCTGCACCCATGTAGAAGACCTGGAAGATCTCCTGGCTCCTGGCTTTGGATCAGCGCAGCTCCAGCTGTTATGGTCATTTGGGGAGTGAATCATCAGACGGAACATCTTCCTCTGTCTCTCTTCCTCTCTATATATAATATATCTGACTTTGCAATAAAAATAAATAAATATTTTTTAAATGCATGCCAGAGCCAGGCATGGTGGCCTAGCGGCTAAAGTCCTCGCCTTGAATGCACCGGGATCCCATATGGGCACCAGTTCTAATCCCAGCAGCTCCACTTCCCATCCAGCTCCCTGCTTGTGGCCTGGGAAAGCAGTCGAGGATGGCCCAAAGCTTTGGGACCCTGCACCCGCGTGGGAGAACCCGAGGAAGTTCCTGGATCCTGGCTTCGGATCGGAGTAGCACCAGCTGTTGCGGCTCACTTGGGGAGTAAATCATCGGACGGAAGATCTTCCTCTCTGTCTCTCCTCCTCTCTGTATATCTGACTTTGTAATAATAAAAAAAAAAAAACGCATGCCAGTCACAGATTGGGAAAAGACAAATACACTCACAAAAGACATATTCAAAAATATAAAAAGTTTATATCAAAAAGGCAGACAACCCAAAGGAAAAACAGGCAAAATTTTCTGAGCAAACACTACAAAAGGTAACATTAAGATGGTAAATATGTGAAAAAGTACTTGACTTCATTGGTTATCAAAAACATACAAATTGGGCCTGGCGTGGTGGCGCAAGTGGTTAAGGTCCTTGTTTGCATGTGCCCGGGATCCCATATGGGCGCTGGTTCTGTCCCGGCGGCCCCGCTTCCCATCCAGCTCCCCGCCTGTGGCCCAGGGAAGGCAGTCGAGGACCGCCCAAAGCTTTGGGACCCTGCACCCACATGGGAGACCCGCAAGAGGCTCCTGGCTTCGGATCTGCATAGCATCAGCCGTTGCGCTCACTTGGGGAGTGAATCATCGGACTGAGGATCTTCCTCTCTGTCTCTCCTCTCTGTATATCCGCCTTTCCAATAAAAAAATAATAAAAATAAATCTTTAAAAAGACATACAAATTAAATTAAAACTATCCCTACAAATTAAAACCATTATGCAGCACCAGCAATCACTCACCAAAATGGGTGAGGTAAAACACACAAAATGTTATTGAGACTGGACTAACTGGAATGCTTCTACATTTTGACTGGCATTATAAAATGTTACATCCACTTAGAGAAACATTTCAGAGACTTCTTAAATGTTTAACAGTAGCTTGACCCTACCTAAGAGAAAGCTAGTTTATACAAAAATTGTGTGCAGATGTCCATAGCAGCAACATTCAAAACAGCCAAAAAAAAAAAAAAATGGAGGCAACCCCAGTGCCCATGAACAGGTAAATGGGTAAAGAAAATGGAGCATATACACAATGGAATACTGTTCAGCAGTAACAAAGAACATACTGTGCTGCAGTGTGAGTGGACCTCAAAAATATACCAAATGCAAGAACAATGATCACATGCTGTAATGATTTCACTTGTATAGAGTATTCAGAAAAAGTAAAGATTCTGAATAGAGAAAATAGATTAGTGATTGCATGGGACAAAGTTAAGAAATGGGGAGTGACCTCAAATAGGCATGAGATTTTGAGATGATGGAAATGTTCTGGAGTTAGATTTTGTTGATAATTGCACAACTTTTAAGTGTACAAAATGTAAGTTTTATAGTATTAAAATATATCTTAATAGGCTAGAAAGTACATGCAAAATAGTTAATATTGTAGAAGATACTCAACCTCATTAGGTACCAGGGAAATACAAATTATACCAACAATGCAAAATAAATACAAAATTAGCCATAGTGCAATGCAGTCCACTGTAATGGCTAAACAAACAAAAAAAACGTATGAAGGCATGAATATATTAAGCTACTAGAATGCTTACATTGTGTTGGTAGGGATGTCAACTGATAACATTGGAAAAGTAGAACTGAACATACACATTTTTATTTCCCAGAAATTCTGATGCCAGTTCCACATCCATCAAAGTCATATAAAAAAAAGTTACCCACTGGTATAAACATTATTAATATGTGCCAAAGTCTGAAAGCAACCTGGACAACCATAAAGACTTGGAAAAAAAAAAAAACTGATAAAGTCTCAACTCAATGCTTTCTCAAAAGGACAATGTATTAAGAGATTTCATCTAAGAGTCTAGACAGGAAATACATACTTTTAATTTCATTTACATGAAATTCCAAAAATAGACAAATCAATGTATAGTGCTAGGGATTAAAATAATGGTTATCTTTGGGAAACAGCGAGTGAATAAAAAAAAAAAAAACAGGGCATATGTAAGGGAATGTTCTTGAGGTACCGGAAGTATTCCATTCCTTCTTTTGTGATAGAAGCTGTATATGCCTGTTGTATTTTCTGCATTGCATGTACTCTAATAAAAGCATGTTATTAAGAACCTGAGATAAGAGATTTATTGGGGAAGTAGATATTTAATTTTCACACTAGTTCTATGATATAGGCAATGGGGTTCCAACTTTATAAGAGAACCAAGATTAGTCACTGTCACAGAATAGATTTGTTATCATCAAGATATAGGTACTAGTGCAGGAAG